ACGTCCATCAAAATGAATAAGGATGCCCTACAAACATTATGCAATGAATAGAAACATAATAAAGATGCCCGATAAAATATGAAGCGAACAAGGGCATAATTACTGTAGGGATGCCTTTCAGACATTCAATAATGAATATAAGCATAATAAATATCCGATAATATATAAACGAATATGGGCATAATTGCTGTAATTATATAAATACAAACGTGAATACAAGTAAATTACTTTAAAGTTGCCCTGACGATATATAAAATGAATGGGGGCATAATTACTGTTTGGATGCCCTTCAAAAGTATTATGATGAATATAAGCAAATTACATTAAAGATGCCCCTACAGTGTGTAAATTATAATCATGGGCTTTAATACTTTATGGATGACCACAAAGTATAAAATGATTATGGGCGTGTTCTCTAAAAGATGCCCCTACAGTGTGTAAATTATAATCATGGGCTTTAATACTCAATGGATGACCACAAGTGTATAAATTGATTATGGGCGTGTTCTCTAAAAGATGCCCCTACAGTGTGTAAATTATAATCATGTGCTTTAATACTCTATGGATGACCACAAGTGTATCAAATGATTATGGGCGTGTTCTCTAAAAGATGCCCCTACCGTGTGTAAATTATAATCATGGGCTTTAATACTCTATGGATGACCACAAGTGTATAAAATGATTATGGGCGTGTTCTCTAAAAGATGCCCCTACCTACACAAGTATCAGATACTCTATTAATTGAAAGACTGCATACATTTATTCGGGGAATATCAATGACTACTACACCACTACCCTTCACCGATGCCCCTTTCTCCCTGAAGGTTGTACGACACGGACAGTACGATGACTATATCAGTGCCATGTGTTGATTGTATATACACATTTCGGTGAATTCGGCAAATTGTGATAATTTGATAATTCTGCCTAGGTAGACAAACCTTAATAGACATTTAGCTTTCCTAAAAAAAAAAAAAAAAAAAAAAAAAAAAAAAAAAAAAATTAAAAATTTAAAAAAAAAAAATCATTTTTTTACCCTCTTTGGATGCCCCTTTGATGTGGCTGCCCGGGGCCTGGGCCCCCTCCGCCCCCCCCCCCTCTGCACGCCACTGAAAGTATGTATGGATGTTGTTTTAGTTATCTTGTTTGGACCCACATAACTTGTCTGTTGGCTTCCCAGGGATTGGGGCTTCTAAGTTCTCTCAATAGTCCCCCATCATGCCATCTCTTTCAGTATTACTTCCCTTTATGACATTGATCTGAGATTGGTGTTCTGAAGTGTTTTACTTCTATGGTAATAGGGTGGGGTTCTTTCTTTCAGTGTTGGTTAATTATATGAGCAATCCAGTCCCTACTTGCCTTTCCTTGTGATGTTACTAACTGGTTATTTTAACTCTGAAAAGACCAGTTTTAATTTGGTATATTCATTTATATACCTGTAATTCTTTTCTGTTATCCTTTAACTTTCAGATCTCTTAGATAGTAAAAATGTATATTTATTACAGAATGTTAGCCCCAGAATTAAGACAACATTATGAACATATAAAGAAGACATATGCCAACATACTCTTCAAATGGGGATTGTTGAATGAAAGAGCATTGATATTAAAACACACCAATAGCATTGATGCAGAACAAAAAGTTCACTAAATATCTGACTTAGGTTGTTTTTTTTTTAATTTAATGCAATACACTGAAATAAGAACAAAAACTATTGTAAAAACTTAAATGTGCTTAGTAGATTATGTTATGGTGGAGCACACACTTGCTAATCTTCTCGTGTTTGATGGATGAAATATTGAACCTACCCAGCTATGATGTGTATAAAGTCTAGAAAAGTGAAAAAAGTCTATGGATAGTGTTGTTTACCATTATTAATTAAATTAAATAAACAGAAAAAACTGCATCCTTTTTTCTGCAGACCACTCTTTCTTTAAGGATACTTGTCTAAACATAATGATAATTATTTCCAATGAAATGTAAAAAAATATTTTTCTTAAATTCATTTCTCCTCCCATAGCTGATACAAAAAAGTTCATGTGATAGCCTTGGTTTAATTTCTCTATAGAGTTTCCTGTTTCATGTTGGAACTGTCATGAAGATGTGAAGGGAGCCCAGTGTACACATTGTTCATACACAGCCCTGAGGTGTGCTGTCTGTAATCTGGGTGTTAGAGGTCAGTGATTCAATTTGCATAGACCAGCACTAAAACATAAAACTATCAAATACCAGCACTAAAACATAAACCTATCAAATACCAGTACCAAAAACATAAACCTATCAAATGCCTGTACCAAAAACATAAACCTATCAAATGCCAGTACCAAAAACATAAATCTATCAAATGCCAGTACCAAAAACATAAACCAACAAATACCAGTACCAAAAACATAAACCTATCTAACACTAGTACCCTAAACCTGTCTAACACCAGTACCCAAAACATAAACCTATCAAATGTCAGTACTAAAAAAACTACTAATTTTGTGCTTAACTTTTTTTTTACACCAATATAACCTAAACGAAAAACTAAATTACAATCAGAAGTTTTTTTTTAAAAGTACCATTTTTTCTTAAATTTTTAATAACCTCCAAATAAACCCTAAATTTCTAGATCTTGCTATATGTCTATATCATGTTTTTAATAAACTGCAAATGAACTCAGCATTCTCAGATCGAGCCAATGTTAACATCATCTTTTTCATAACCTCAAAATGAACTTAATATTCCCAGATCTAGCCAATGTCTGCATGACCTGCCACCACGGAGGTCACATGGGTCACATGATTGACTGGTTCTCCACCCAGGCCCTCTGTCCCTCTGGCTGTAACTGCCTGGAAGAAAACCTGCCCAGGAACTTGATAGTACCAGATCAGATCTCTAGTTAAGTCAGCAGTCACCTGCCCTGTTGCACTTGATCTCATTTCCATTTTGTACAGAGAACATTCAGACATTCCCATATCATTAACCTCATATTTCATCATGTGTGTTCATAGAAAAATTCAGGGAAATTCAGAGCATTATTTTTATAGCATTATTGTTGACTTCCATATTGAATGATGTTTATTTATGTTTGAAGCTGATACTAGTTTATAGAAAACAGAAATGTTTTGAAATGACTGACTAGTGTGTGGTTTTTCTGATTTCGATGTGGTTTATCTGACTGACAATGTGCGGAATAAATCTTGACTTTGATTATGTGATTTATTCTACTAGTGATATATCTGATGTAATTTAACTGACTAATTAATGGTTACTAGTCCTTGAAGCCTTTTTTCATGATTGCAGATTGAAATTGCCTATACGACATGTAATTGATGCTGCCCTCCATCCAGATTTTTGTTATATCTTTTTATGTTGATGTTTTCTTGTTGATGAATGTAAGCTTTTGACAGAAGTCCAGTTCATACTCAGCCAGATGATCAAAATAAAGAACAGTTCTTTAGCAATAATTGCAGCTATGTTAAATAAGGTTAATATGTATTGGTTTTACAGTACGCAACTTTTCCATACTCCTTAAGTGGAGCCTAATGCTAGTTTACATATTGTTTTATTATGTTTTCCTAGTCATGTGAGTTACATCGTAGAAACATCAAGTAAACTGAATGTACCAATTTTTTACATTTTTTCAAGGCTTTGATGTAGACCACTAAAACTAACAGCTCTAACAGAAATTACTTTGTTTTCATGAAAGTAGTTACTTGTACTTGTACATATTTTGTTTTTCTTTTACACAAAAATCAAAAGAATAATATTCTCTTAAATTATAAGTAAAGTTTAAACTTTCAAGTATTGATGATGCTTGTTGCTTAGTAACTTTTTCAATGCATGATAGGGTATTATTTTGTTGTTTATGGTATGTTTTCTCAAATGGTAGAAGCCAGCTCTTAGCTTATTGCCATAAATGAATTTTTTTTTAGTTCTCTTTTTTGATGCTGATGAGTAGGTCAATAATATTCTAATTTAATATTTCTCAGTCCAGGGGGTAGTGAAGAGTATATTTAATAGGTATAAAGGATAGCTTAATTGATAATGCTGAGGTCACAGAAACAAGTGAACTCTACTTCACTTGCCCCATAGACTGTCAGGTTTGAAAGGGAAACTTACTTTACTTAATTGATCAAGTAATTTCTTCTTAGGTTAATTAAGTTGTGATGGTAGTATGTTAAATTAGATAATATATTGATTAAAATAACCAGGATAGTTAAAAATAATCATGTATCTGACAATAGACATTTCTTAAGCTGTCTGATGATTTTCTAAAAAAAACATTTGTCTAAACTTAACTTATTCAAATGTATTCACAAGTGTATGAAAATTCTCTGAATATGCAATAGCAAAGCAATATTTGAATTTGTTCCTAATTTTTGGAGTTTTGGTGAAGGTGAAATAAAATTAATTTGGCCAAAATGTTTTCTTATCTGCTCTTGATGTAGTAATATTAAATTTAAAATATTATATAGCCGTCTTTTAAAAGACCAGTAGTAATAGAAGTAAAAACAGCCTTTGAAGAAAAAATGATCCATAGTTGTAAAGCAGAGTTCACCTGTTGTTCAAGTTTTTCATAAAGATAAAAGGTGTTATCAGCTCCAATACATATAGCCAGGACTCAGTCCATCTTCATTCTGACATGAATTTTAGATTTTTGGCTATCTACTATGCTGCTCAACCTTGCAATCCACAAGTGGTCAAACTACAAAAGTCACATTTTTACACCATAAAACCTATTGTGATATTTTAGTTTTAGCTAGAGAATATCATGTGGTAGTGATGATAATTGCCTACTTTAAGGACTTCAAATTTGTAAACATTTTTCTTGCGGTTATTTTGCAACTTGCAAATGTGTAGTGATCATGATAGTTAAAACATTGAGTTAAAATAATTGACATAACCTCCCTCATTTCAACCTCTCACCAATAAGTTTCAGAAAAAAATACAAATTGTGCTGTTTAATAGATTAATAATAAAAGCAATTTTGGGAAGAAAGAAAAAAAAAACAGTTTTCAATGTACCAACAACACTTAGTGTTGTGTTTAATCAATAGGGTCATAAAATGTACAATCATACACAAAAGTATTAAAACTGTCATACACAAATAATTATCTAAACCATAAACCACTCAAAAAATCAACTCTCTGAATGAGAATATACACTGAATGAGAATATACAAATACCATTCAAACCATGCATATGTGCCACAATATAAAATTCTCCAATTATTCATATTAAATAATGCATTACATGCACCATTTTTTCATAGTTGTAAATAGTTCACAAAAAGGTAATTAAAAGCAGCAGATTAAACAATGAGATGGTTAGGACAAAGAGAAGTTATAAACGCTGATTCTGGACATGTGTTGAAATGCTGATTGCCTTATCCCAGTATTACTATTATCCTTATGTTGGAATTTTCATTTAAATGGATCAAAACTATGGATCTGGATTGAATTTTTTAATTTTATATTTTTGTCTTGGTGTAGGGTCATAGGTGTCAACAAGGTCTGAACTGTAGAAGAAATTTTGTTTTATTATAAATAGCATATTATATATGCAACAGATGACATCAGTATCAAGTATATGTTACAAGCAATGTATCAAACCCTGGCATTCAATAGAATACTTAAACTGTGTATACAATTACAATCCCTAACCATTACATAAAATGCCTTGGCATTATAATGACATTAAGAATGGCAAGAACTGTTACACTTTGCCTATTTGTCATTTAGGTATTTTAAGGAATGATTTGGAAATTTATGATAAATGATGTATTTCATACTGTGACGATCCATTTCTGGCACTGTATAAATTGCCTTGGTGTTATATAGAATAATACTGTATATATAACACTGTATGTATTACTATATAATAATATCAAGATTTTAGCTGTTTTTAATTTTTTAAATAGCAAATAAATACTTACTAAAAGTAGTTATAAAATACGAAATTGTAAACAACTATTCCAAAACATGTCATGGCTGTCAGGACTATGTAAAGTGCTCTGTGAGTGTTGGTTTCCTATAAAGACAGAATTTTAAATTTTAGAGCATGACTAGTAATCTAATTTTAGTTTGAAACTGTTTTGACTGAAGACATAAATCTGTTAGTAACAATTATGTATTCTTGATCACCCCTTTACTGTCTGGTGTTCCAGAACTATATGTAGTACATTGTTTTCAGTGTAGTTAAAGAATTTCAGCAACAAAATTTTAAATATAAGGGGGAAACCAAAACTAAAAAAAAGTTTAAATTAAATATTTTTCACTACTAATTATTTTTTGTATAGCTTACGGAAAAAATAGTAAGAGAAATTAAAATTGTAGATTTTTTTAGTGTTTGAAATAGTTACATTATTGCATTTATAAGGAGAGGTAAGGGAGTTTTGTTTTACATTTTTCTAGGTTTGAATTGAAATTATTTTTATTTATTATAATATTATTTGTAAATTATTTAGCACACTCATTTCACTTGACCCTGAGGTAAGTAAAAATGATTTTAAAGCCTGGATAGTAAAGGGCTGAATCCATGACAAAAGATAATGTAACTACTCACCTGCTGGTATGGTGTATTCCAAAACTTGGAACAAGTGAGAAATGAGCAAAGATTTTCCATCACTTGACCTAAAATGACATATTTTAGAGAGTATTTTTGGAAAGTGAACCTCTAAATATGAACAATTTGATAATAATTTAATTCAGAAACTAACGTCCAAGGACTAATTTGGTGAAAAGGGAAAAAATAAATCTAGCAAATGAAAAAGGGGATATTAAAATTTTGCTTCATCAATGATGTACTTAAGAACATAGTAAGCATAACTAAAATTAAATATACAAAAAATTTCAACTATTAAGTTTGAAATAGTGGTTTTACACCTACAAAAATTAATAGCTAGTGATTTGACTTACTTCTAACAGACTCTGTTTCATTTTTTGAGTAGCCAGGAGGAATGCAGTTATTTATCAAAGTCTGAAAAATTTTCATAAAATAAATTTCTTATGACAAAATATAAAATAACATACTGATGCTGTTCAATATAATAAAAACTTTCTGAAGGTTCTTATTTCTCTTTTGTACTAAATGTGCTAGACTTTTAAAATAGTTATTGTTTTGTGGAGTCCACTTTCAACACTGAATTCATTTCAACACTGTAGTCGATAACTGATACATGTGTTTTGTACCTTACACTGGGAGTGTAGCTCTTCCATATCATCCTCTAAACATAAGGCAATATCCCAGTAATCTGGCTGTGACACACCTGAAATGATGTCACACCGAAATATGTCACAGACATCTGCTAGACACACCGCATCCTTTTTCTGGAAATGAAACAGAAGATTCTTTAACTAATTACTAATTCTGATTAAAATACATAGGATTGGCAATATGAAATAACATAATTAGAATGTAAAAATGTTCATAGTTAAAATAAAGAGAGCATCTTTGAATGCACATCTGTTGTTGACATTTTTTCATTCTTCAAGTTAAGAGATATTGGGACTCAGTTTGGTGGGTGTTTTTTTTCATAATTCAAATAATCTAAAATAATTCCTTTATTCCCCTCAGAAGGATTGGAAAGTGTCTTTCTGTCATCAGATTAGAATTCCCTGAAACCATGAAAACTTCTCTACTCTGAAAACTTTTCATTACAGATAGACTTGTCTACTCTGAAAACTTTTCATTAATTTCATTACAGATAGACTTGTCTAATCTGAAAACTTTTCATTAATTTCATTACAGATTGACTTGTCTACACTGAAAACTTTTCATTATAGCCACTTGCCTACTCTGACACACTCAAATATATTAAGTACCTTGCAACATTATAACTATCAGCAAGCATTAACCCATCAACTATTGAGGGAAGTCAAAATATAAATTTACTTCCTTGTGATGATTTACTTTCACAGACATATGAGTAAGTTTCCTCAACGGAATGCTGATTTTTGTTTCTTTTGTCGTTTGAATTTTCTTTAGCCATTTTAAAGACAATGTTCTGGCAGTTAAATAACCTTTTTTGAATACATGATGTTGGATGTCTATTGCTTGGTGAGCTTTTTATAATACTAACACAGTTTTTTTGGTTCCCATAAATGTTGGTTGTCCATATAGCTGATGACATTACATCAGACCATAAGAGTGTGTTTAGGACTAGGGATATATAAGTATTAGATATAAGCTTATTGTACTAATATCAACTGTACAGATGGGTATAACTAAGTAAATTATGAGAACTCTTATGGAGTGACAAATCAAGTAAATTAAAAATTAGGATATCACTTAACTTAATTTTAATCCTTATTGGTTATTTATACTTATTGGTTATTTATATAAACATTAAACTATGCACACTCTATTACCCGTATCTGGTCTGTATGTCTATTTTCAAAATGCCGATCTAAGAAATACTCCGAGACAAAGGCCTTGCCACAAAAATCGCAAGTCCATCTATTAGCACCCTCTAAAACTTTATGATCCTCTTGAATGGAATACATGTCTCTCTCCAGTGAGAAATCACAGCTGGGATTAACACTCATTTTGTAAGCATTGAAAACAGGGTAAATCCTCTGAAATGTAACAATTAGTTTATAAAAATGGTAATAAGTAGCATATTTAAATCATATTTTTAATTTGTATACACAATCACACATAACTGTTGAAATACATTTAACTTTTACATCTTCCTTAAGACAGATAATTTTATAAAAATATTTTTTTCTCTCATTTTTTATCCTAAATTTAATGTTTTTATGGTCAGTAAAATGTATTAAGATACATTAAGGAACAATTATAACAATTATCATAAAAATAAATCAGTAAGAACAGATGACTAGGTAATGTTGCAAATAAAAGGTGCTTTATATTTTATTGTTTATAACACAGTTTTCTAGGTACAAGCTTTATAATCACACTGATGCAGACACCAAATAGGTTTGATAAATTAAAACTGTATCAATAGTGGGAATCATATCTCTCTTATTCTTAGGTCAGAGAAAAGATGAGATGAATAGAGTTGTGTTTAATGCAGGAATTATAACTAGGATAAGGGTTAGGTTTAGGATTTTGTAATAGTTATTGGTACAACCGATTACTAGTACCTAATTAAGTTATTTTTCAATAAGCAATACTACTTCAAAATATCACAAAGGTGACTTTATCTTTTTCGCCTCTTGCATTTGACCAACAGGTACCAAAACAGTTATGTAGAAATAGGTAAAAACTGTATTACAAGATTCCAGATCCTATTCAGTAAGACAGACAGGCTGAAGTGTTAAGTTAAATACAAACTAGCAAAAGTTACCTCTCTGACAACCCTTGCAACAGTTCTTGAATTTTCCCGGGCACAAATTTTTTCTTGTGAGGGCGAGAAGTAGTTGAAAAAACATACCTGTTGTTTGAAATGAAAAGATCACTGCATTTCATTTCATGTTTTCAATCAGACTTTAAAACCAGCATTAAATCTTACAGATAATTTTGCTTTTCTTCCAGTTCTTTCCTGCTATAGCTCAGAAATAACTACAACTACATTAGAGAATTAAATTAAATATTCATATCATTCTTATTTAGGCCTATTTATTTATTACTGTAGTAAAAATTGTAGTGGGTCTATATTTTAAGTGGGAGTGAAATGTGAGCTGTGAGAAATGGTAAAGCAATCACATTAGGCCTATATTTTTAACTTGCATTTTACCGCTTGGTAAAGTGTGGAGATATAATCATATGCTGATCAAAGCGAACTAAGTGACTAAGTCAACTAACTTTTACTATAATACTAAGTCGTAACTAAGTGAAGACTAAAGATAACCAGAAAGTAAAATAGAGTGTTTAGCCATAATTTAATAATTCGATTAATTAATAATTATAGGCCTAATTATACTAATTAATAATTAATTATAATTAGGCCTACTAAAGTACTTACAAGCAAAAACAAGAACTTGACATTGCAGGTGAACCTTGCCATTTTAAAAACTTTTTTGGCAATTTAATTTTTCAATACTTATCATACAACAGAATGTTCAAAATTATTCTTGTTAGATCTAAATCTAGCCATCTCCAGCAAACTCGATTAATTGTACTAATTGTAGTTGTAGATCAATTTTAATTTTAAGTTCAAGCGGTCAAGCCAGTTGTTTGAGTTCTCACTCAACTCACTGTCAGCTCTCTAATTTAGTAATTGGTGAATTGTATTAAACACTAGTGTGTAGTGAGTCTAAGACTTTGCTTTAGTCTAAGACTAAGAGCTAAGAGTCATACTTTAAATGTAACACCTTATCGATTTAGATCTATTTTAATTTTGTTGTTTTAGTTTTAGCTAGTGACATTCTTGTTCTTGTTTCGATTTCCTAAACCCCGGAAGTGTAAACACATATATTTTTGCTTTCGGAATATAAAAGATTTAGTTTTTAAAAAGAACGGTTCTCGCGTAGTTGATTGACATTTCGTTTACTGTTGTATTGAATACGAGATGACCCGCGTCGTCGTTATTTGTTTTATTTTCTACTTTTCAGTGATTCATAATTTGTGAATTCGACACTACCAATGCTGCGACTGAAAATATTTTGCTTTAAAACACTATCAGTGGCTCGTGAAGGACAATTATCCTCACCCTCCCCCCTACCCTCTCCGTGAAAGCAGACGACCGTGACGGCAATTTACACACAATGAAAATATCAAGCAGAACTTGTTAGCTGACCTTAGTTTCAAATAGTTTGAAAACTAAATTATCTTTCCCTAATAGCCGTCACTAATAGGGCTGGTAAGTAGGTCACCAACCAGTTATATGCAGAGGCGTAGCGAGGGGGGTGGGGCGAGGGTGCGGACGCACCGGGTGACACCATTTAGGGGGTGACACCAAGGCAAAAATAGGAAAATATATAGAGAAAAACTTGAAGGGGGTGCAAATTGAAAGTTTGAGGGGGGGGGTGCAAATCGAAAATTTGAAAGTTTGTCCCCGGGAAGGGTCGCTACGTCTCTGGGGGGTGACACCATTAAGTGCCGCACCTGGTGACACCCGACCTCGCTACGCCACTGGTTATATGGCTCATACAGGTTTTATTGAGCTGTAGAACTGGTTGGTGACCTACTTACCACCCTTATTCGACCCGGTTCAACGATCGTTAACATTCGGCGTGAACCACAGCTCAGCAGACTGGTGGTGGTGGGGGGGGGGTGATAGCGATATGGTCTGTTGCTCATGTCTGGAGAGCGAAGGAGAGGCGGGAGGAGGGTCAGATAGTCGGCTTGCGTGTGTGGTAGTGTCCACGTAGAGAATTATATATATGAGCTGACCCGCGACGTTATAGTATACGCCGCCATCTAGTTGTTTTATTTTCTGCTTATCAGCAATACATAATTTGTGAATTCAACACTACCCCCTCCCGCCCTCCCTCACCCCCCCCCCCCCCCCTCCCGCCCAGTAAAAGCAGCCGTTTACTGACAAAGAAAATAACAATCAGAAATTAATTGTTACCTTCCCGTCGTTTCAAATCGTTTAGTACTAAATTATCTGCCCCTAATAGCCTTCACTAACCCGTCTCTACGATTGTAAACATTCGGGGTGAACCACAGCTCACCTGACAGGTGGGGATGAGGGTGGTGGCTAAGCTGCGTGGTGTTTTCTCCATGAAGGGAATTATATATACGAACCGACCCGCGGCGTATTATATGCCGCTATTTAGTTGTTTTATTTTCTACTTTTCAGTAATTCATAATTTGTGAATTCGACAGTACCAATGCTGCCACTGAAAATATTTGCTTTAAAACACTATCAGTAGGTCGTTAGTTAAGTTATCAGAATAAAAGTAAACGTTTATTTTTATACGTTGTAACTTATTGAGCGTCAACCGATTCTATAATCTATTAAATTGCAATTTATAATGATTTATTGGACAAGTTTGTCGACACCTGGCCAAGAGTTGCGCGTTTTGTAGGGCCTATCAGTCACACCTCTAGCCTTGGAACCAGATCTCTAGATCTAGATTTCTAGATTTAGTTCTCGTAAATGTTTCTATTCTCTACAATACGAGAGTTCTTGTGTTTTGTTTTTGATTGTTTGTTGTCCAGTAGTCGTAGGCTAGGCCTGCTATAATTTTAGATTCTAAACTCTAAAGTTACACTAAAGTAATCTAGTATAATTTTGTACATTTTAAAAATTTAAATAAAAAATAAACCTCCTATCTATTAGGCCTACATGAAACAAGTTAACGAAGATTGATTCGCATATTGCAATAAACTAAAAAAAAAATTACTCAAAGTGAAAGTGTCACTTGTCACAAAGTGTGACACACAACTTACAAGTCTCGCTTTCAACTCTGTCATAGATCTAGATCTAGATCTAAGTCAAGTCCTTAACTCTTTACTTTAGGCCTATTAATTAATTTTTAAAAATAATGGATTAGGCCGATATGTAGGCCTAATTAATTATAATAGGCATAGGCCTAATTAATAACTAATTATTAATTATTTTCATATTTTGTCACTAAATTTGTGAAGTAGCAAACACAATTTTGAATTTGTTGATCAACAAACTTTCAATTACACCCAGTCAGAATGATTTTAAAAAAAGTTTAAAAACCCACTAGACTCTAGATATAGATCTAGCTAGATCTACAAATCAAACTTTTTACCAAACTTACTTGACTAGATCTAGATCTGCTACTCATTGTCATTACTATAGGCCCAATATATAGAACGAGCCGACCCGCAGCGTATCATACGCCGCTATTTAGTTGTTTTATTTTCTACTTTTCAGTAATTCATAATTTGTGAATTCGACAGTACCAATGCTGCCACTGAAAATATTTGCTTTAAAACACTACCCCCCCCCCTCTTTCCCCTAACCCCGACCCTACCCCCCCCCCCCCCTCAAAAGTAGCCTCCTCTTAGTTATTTCTTAGTTACCTCCTCTAAGTTTAAAATCGAACTAAATTATCTGCCCCTAATAGAAACCCGGCTCTATGGCTCTACGATTTGTAAACATTTAGCTTTGTAAACATTTAGAGTGATCACCGCTCACCAGATAATGTGGGGGTGGGGTGGGGGTGGTAGTGATAGTGATAGAGAGAAAGAGAAAGAGAGGGGACTGCAAGGAGGCGCTTGCAGCTTGTTTTCTAACGGCTCCCAGAAGAGAATTATAATATAGATATAATAGTAGATTACTTTTACTAGATTTTCTAGATCTACTTCTTAACTTGTCTACTAGATCTAGATTCTAGTACTAGTCTAGTATGTAACATCTCTGTAACAAAATGTTGAAAATAGAGGTGTTTATTTTACTTTCTCGTAGACTATATACGAAGTATAGAGAAAGTATTGTAATCGTGCAAAAGAAATAATCGAGATTTTTGCAATTCTCGACGTTTTACATCTCCCTGAGTCGCAAAAACAGTTTTGCAATCTTGTGTGTGTGTGTAAACACGATAACTTGAGTACTGTTACAGCTAGGTTGATGAAATTTCATATAGATCTATAAGTATTATATCAAAATCGTAGATCCGTATCAACTTTTGAGCGATTTCCGATAACCAGAAGTGGAACTTTTTCTACTTTGAATTTTTCAAAAGCCTATAACTTGAGTACTATTTCAGATAGATAAATGAAATTTCACATGTAAGTAAAAGATCTAATTTTCTGCCTTCTGTAAAATTTTGAGTAATTTCCGTTGACCGGAAGTAGTAATTTTCACTCTTTACTTTCCAATTTCTCAAAAAAACTCATGTGAATTTATAAAGTACTAATACTATTCCGCACTATTATACACATCTTTATTTGGCGTTCGCTTGGTGGGCAATTCTTTTTTGAGATTCTATTCTATTTTAAAAAGTTTAAGTATTTAAAATGGATTAAAAATCATAACTATATTCCGAGTTCCCATCCCCTGTTGTTTTATTTACGAATATTCGAGAAAGTTTAGGGGAGATCACTCCCGGTTTATTTGGTGTGGTCATTAGACTTTGCTCTTTGTACTAGTCCTTACTAGTCACTAGTAATACTAAACTAATTACTATTGAAACTATTGACCATGCAAAATATATTGTATGCCCTACACCACACTCTTTGTAGTCCTTGTTACTAGATCTACTTTCTCAGCAGTACATGTAGACATATATAATTATTAGGCCTATAGGCCATAGGCTAGTACCAACACATTTCAATTTTTAGTCTAAGCTGAAAGACAATCCAATGCAAATACTAATATTTAATACTTTAGCCCTTGGGGCTAAGTATACAATAAGTTCCTAATTATTTAAATTTGATGGCATAGACCATTAGTAGGCCTATAGCCATTGAAAATACATTTAAACTAGTAATTAATTAGTAGGCCTATTAAATTGCCTCATTCAAATTTATTGTATTATAATATTTTAATAATCAATTTATAACTACTACATATGATACTTAATTACATGTGAATTTATTCTTCAGTTTACTAACATGTGGGGCTGGATTGCTTTGGCAGTTTTCATTGTTTTTATCATCATTTTGTACCTGCTCTCTCCACTGATATCTCCACAGCCAATAATCCTACACAATGCCCATGTGATTGTAAGTTATAATATAGATGTTTTATTAGTATTTTACATTCTTCATTAATTTATTAGTGGGATGGTGTGATCGAATAGTAGAGCATATGCCCACTAACCAGAAAATTTTGAGTTCAATTGTTGGCTAGATTCCATAAAATGTTCCTGAGTCCACCCAGCACTGATAGATACCTGACTAAAGTTAGGGAAAGTAAAAGCGGCTGGGAAAAGTGTTCAGAGGTGTAGCGACCCCGGGGACAAAGTTTCGATTTGCGCACCCCTTCAAACTTTTGATTTGCACCTCCCCCCCTCTAACTTTTGATTTGCACCCCCCCAAACTTTCGATTTGCACCCCCCCCCCCTCTCTAACTTTTGATATGCACCCCCCCCCCCCCTCAAACTTTTGATTACTTTTTCCTACCCATTTTGGCGCCCCCTAAGGTCGGCGCCCTGGGACATATGTCGTCGTCCCCCCCCCCCCCCCCATCACTACGCCTCTGACACTATCCCTCTATATGCTGAGGTAACAGAAACAGGTGAACTCCACTTGCCCCTTGGATTATCTAGGTTGAAAGGGAACTTCACTATAATATTGCTTTACTTGTAACTAAAGTTTAAAACTTTAAAAATTATAAACAAATACCAACCCAACACTGAAGATATTATAATAGTAATTTTTTAAAATGATTTCACTGTCACTTAGGGGTTAGGAATTATAGCTCTGAGGAATAGACTGAACATAGGATAGTGCTGATAAATACATTAATTCACAAATTTCAGGGACATTTACTGTTTCATTATTTATACTATTTAAACTCATAGGCAAACACATATTTCTATACATACAGATTACAGGAGGCTCAAGTGGCATTGGGAAAGCTTTGGCTGTTCAAGCAGTGCAGCAAGGAGCAAAAGTGACAATAGTTGCTAGAGATAAAGTAAGTTTTTTTTAACTAACTAGATCTAGTACTAGTACTGTTAAATTGAGTATGTCAATTGCAATCTAGTTGGCCTTCATCATATAAAAAAGATGTAAGTTGTTGGTTGTTTTTTTTTAACTATTGCATTGGACAGTTACATAAAAATTCTACCCATTACGTGCAAGGATAAAAAATTGACTGATTCAGCAAAATACATAATCATACAAAAACATTTGTCTAGTTCTTACAATTAATTATTAAGCATCTTTTAATGTAGATCCATTTGAACAACTGCAAGGTGGGAATATGTAATACCTATTTGATCCTGTTTAAGTCAATGTGTGTCAAAATAAAAAATATTTAACCTCTATTCATCAAAAGGAAAAATAAAATAAGAAAGATTTAAAACATTACCCACAGCAGTCATCATGGAAATGATTAAACTAATTGATTTTAGAATAGAAACAAGTGCCACTTTTGACATGCTCATGCTATTAGTATTACAAATATTGATCGAAGAATATTGCTTTTTAAAATTAACAAACATCCATAATAACAGCTCTGTATTTATATTTCAAGTATGTTTCACTGAAATTTTACAGAATACTATTTTGTTTCTTTCAGGCAAAACTTGAGGAAACAAAAGCAGAATTAGCTTCATTTATACCAGATGAAAAAGTTGAAGAGGTAACATTAGTTATAAGTTTATTTTGAGCTCACCATGAAAAAAAATATATATAAATATTGTACTTAATTTAAATCTATTCTGAAGTAGGAATTTAAAGATCTTTGACAATACAATCATACTGCATGAAAGGGAATTGAGTTTTTTAAATACATTCTAAATTCATTCTTCAAATACAACTTACTCTAACTTAAAAGCATATTAATTTAGATTACTTTGTTAATATGTTGCATTAAACTTTTAAAATTAACTATCATTTTTTGTGTTTTAGCGAGTCCAGTTGATATCTGTTGATTTATCCAAGGATTATGTAGCAGTAGAAAATGCATTACACACTGTAAGTAAATTTATAAAAAGCATCTCTATCATTTGATGTATATGAATAAACGCCTTCTTGACAGGATGGATTAACTTTGTTTCAGGCTGAATCAAACTTTGGCCCAGTAGAGTGTCTAATAAACTGTGCAGGCACTTCAAGCCCTGGTAGATTTGAAGAACTGCCAATTACAGATTTTAAGGTTAATATCTTTTTTCAAAGTGATAATATTTGTACCTGAATGTGTGGGTCGGCATGGTCAGGTAGGTAAAGCTCATAGTTGCTAAGCAGTAAAGCCCTCTGTTTGAACCCCCAGGCTGATGAGTCTTGAATACAGCAACCCATCTAGTAGAGAAAACTACAAAATCAAACAAGCGCTGCCTTGTACTTTGTACTTGGATGGACAAATGTTATGAAAGCAAATCCAGAAAAAAAAGCTGGCCGAAATTAAAGTCTACAGCCTATATGGTCCATACTTAATTTGTTGGAGGAAATACCATCCAATGTTACAGTTAAGAATGAAGAAGAAGCACCTGAATGTTTTGTTAGCCAATTATGTTTTGAACATTTTAACTTGTCAGAAATTTTTCAAATAATATTTTCAGAAAATGATGGACATCAACTATTTAAGTGCTGTTCATGCCACAAGGGCTATTATCCCTAGTATGAAAATACATGGCAGAGGCCGCATTGTCTTTGTGTCATCTCAGGCTGGACAACTTGGTCTTTTTGGGTTTACTGCTTATTCTGCTTCTAAATTTGCTTTGAGAGGACTAGCTGAGGCCTTACAGATGGAGGTGCTGTTAAGTTAAATTTTAAAATTTCTATTAGCTTTTTTTTTTTTGCTTAAATGTTAACATTAATGATAAGAAGTATCTTAAAATATATTCGTTCAAAGCTATTTTTTGAATTTCATTTTTTAAAAAAATATTTTAAACTTCCAACATATAGGTGAAACCATACAATATACATTTAACCCTTGCCTTCCCTCCTGATACAAATACTCCTGGCTTTCAAGAAGAGCAGAAAACAAAGGTATACATTGTTAAAAATAAATTTCATTAGATATAACATTTTACTTTTAATATTTTTAATCAAGATAATTTAAATAGTTTATCCTTTTTTCATGCTGCAATTATTATTTTTTTTAATTGTAAAAAATTTAATTCTTTTAAATTTAATTTTAGCCAATAGAGACAAAACTAATATCAGAGACATCTGGATTGTTTACTCCTGAAAATGTTGCCAGTATTATTCTTGCAGACACTGTGGTATGCTGTTTTAATTGCTTGTAAATTATTTTGAAGTCTTATTTACTTTGAGTCAAAAAAGGATAATTTTTTTTTTTTTAAAAAGACTATTAACTATTACTATAGTGTCAATAAAATCAATTTTTATTGTACTGCATGTTTAAATATTCTTCAGCGTGGAAGGTTCTTCAGTACAATGGGTCTAGATGGGTTAATGTTAGCGTGTGTAACATGTGGCTTTTCACCAGTTACATCATTAATGGAAGCAACTCAACAAGTAAGAGATAACATTACGATGAATTATTTTTTAATTAATGTTTTGCTTTTATATTTAATAAGTATCACTTTACACTTTGTTTTAGAGATTATGTTGATAATAAGAAATTATAATTTTAAAGAATCTGCATAATGTACACAAACCTGATATTCTTCAGTCTTAGAAGCAAATCTACTTTCTGTTGTTGATTTTAAATTGATTAATTTTAAACATTTTTCAGGTTATAACAATGGGACTATTCAGGATTATTTCACTTTTCTATTTGGACCACTTTGATAGGATAGTCCATAGGTGTAAGCTTGAGAAGGATGCTAAAGAAAACAGCAAAAAAATGTCATAATATCAGTTGTTTTTAAAAAAAGCTTTAAGCTGTGGGATGATATTTAGCTTCCAGAATCATACATAACATGTTGTTTTAAACGTATTACATCTGTTTAAGGTGCCATACATTTTAACTACTTTATATTACTTTCTGATATATCATACAGTTAAAAAAATTGGGATATGTCTGGACGAGTTAGAAATTTCTTTTTTTATGGATAATTGGGGTTTGGGTCTTTTAATTATTTTGCTTTTTTAAAAAGATTATCTTTAAAATGTTCTTAAACTTAAATGTCAAGATTTTTAATATTGAGAAATAAAATTATGTTAATTGTTATAGAATACACAATATCCATACACTGTTTTTAAAAAAATTCTCTAAAGCTTATTTTTATACATTAAGTTTACCTAGCACAGTCAAAAAATACCCTATTTTAATTATTTTAATACTTAGTTTACCTTAATTGAACTTTTTGCATTAATCACTGTTGGATTAACCTCACATTTGTTGTTTGGAAGGTCCACATACTAATTGTCCTTTGGGTGAAAAGTATAAACTAAATATTTATTACCATTGCACTGAAGAATTTTAAATATATTCTGTAAACCACTTGGGTACAACAATGTAAGGACAATATAAACTCTCAAAAATGTGTACCTGTGTAGTTCACTAGGTATTGGGCCATTGATTTGACTTGCACAAAAATATTTACCATATTCTTACTAACATTTTTCTTTACATGCTTTTGCAATATGTTAATATAAATTGTGCTTAATAAACATTTAATTTTCATTTGACAAATCAATATGCTGTTGCCATAATATGTTGAATTCTTCTCAAGTATGCCATTTTAGCAAATCGCAAATAAGTCATGTTCCCTGGGATTGTTTTGTGAAACTAGAGCTGTGTTTATGTACTTATTACTGCAGTATTTTGCATCCTTTGAAGGTGATAAGAGTTTAATAAACCTTGCTTGTTTAAAAATTTAAATTCTCATTGTTGAATTTTGATTCATATATATTTTGTATATTTATATAGATCTATATATATATAATATAAACTTCTAAATAAATTGTGCTTAATTGCGAGGCAAGAATGATGTTATCTATCAATCAACCTTTATCTTTAATTCTTGTTAATCCACAATAATGAAGTATATTCTAATTGATGCTTCATTATCATTTATTAATTCTAAAAAAAAATTTGCCAATAAGTAAGCCAATTAAACCAAACCATACAGATAAGAAAATACACTTACAACAATTATGACCAAACCATATTAAATCTAAATTAGACTAATAATATTACACTTGTTCTAAAAATAAATAACAAGTCAAGTTGAAGCTTTAATTATTTAATGTGTCATAAATCAATACTTGGCTTTGACTTAAACTTTTTTGAGGCTCTTTCACCTGGCTTTACTGTAAACTGGTTTCCAAATATTGTAAAATTCTGACCATGCAATGCAACACAAAAAATAGAATTCATTTTTGGTACATCTGAAATAAACACAACAAAATAGTTAACTGAAATGGTTGCAAAGAATTTTTCAAAAGGTTTCAATATTCTGCTATAAACTTAGAACCAAGCCTTAGAACTGGTATAGGAAAATTAAAACATTGTCTGGACAGTTCTTGTACCAAGTAGTGTTAAACGTTAAAGATCATAAACAGTAATAATCTAAGGTAATATAACTGAAATAGATGTTCAAACTTACTCTTAATTTTATTATCAGGTGTAATTAGTTGAAACATGTTTCTGGTCTCTTTAATAACAATCCCATGCACTCCTATAAAACTTGGGCATTTTGATTTCCTAACAGTAAGGTGGCAACCATGCAGATCCGCCTTCATCATTTTTTGAGCTGCAGAAGCTTGGAAATTTGAAGATGTCATTCTAAAAAAAAAGGGAATGGTATCTTGAATTAAATTCATGTTTTGTTTTCATAGTAAAGACAAAAAAATTTTTTTAGTCTCATATCAAATACACAAAGCATTCAAATACTATGTCTGACTTGAGTTAGTAGTGTATTATAGGTATTTATCAAATTTCCATTCATTCAAACTATGCTCTTTACTTACTTGGAGAATTGTATTAAGTCTTCCATGTATTTTATCCATAACTCATTTAAAGGCAAGAAAGAACTGAATCTGTTGATATAAAGATGCTATTGATGACAAGAATTACCATAAACCTTATTTAATCTGTTTTAACAATTGAATTGAATTCTCACAATTTTTCTTGAGCATTTATGGACAAAAATTGAACCTTTTGAACATCAGAAATTACCAAATACACTTATACTATAATGCAAATGCCATATTTATTTGAGGGTTTAAATATAATAAGCGCATCTTAACTTATGATTTATATGGTAGGCTACATGTTAACTCTAAGTAAGACTAACTAAAAATAAACGTTTATTGTGCATGTAGTAGGCAGTAGTTGTAGGCAACTTTATAAAACAATATGGTTCTGTCTACCATAATAACTAGCTGCATTATCCATCCTATAAAGCTAGTTCTTTTCATCTATGTAACTTTTAATTTTTTAGGTAAGTAAATATGCCAATTACCACATTTCCATTGCAATTTAAAAATGTAATATTAGGAAGAAACTGGCATACTTGATATCAGTAATTATTTCAGGTGTAAACAGCATTTTCTTCTTTGATAAAGTTTTTTTCCCATTTAGCCTTGGAACTGATTTCTTCTTCACTCCCTTTGATCCAATGTATTCATACTTGGAGCTCATGTCACTTTCATTGTTTTTTAATCTTGCTGAAGGCAGATGTTCATTTATAAATGAGGACACCCACTGTTTGCTCTCATGTTTCCCCTGAAAGATGGGAGAAATCAAATTACATGTTTTTAAATTATCAGAAAGAAATAAGCCATAAAATATTTAAGAGAAGTACTAATTACCTTTGGATGGGAGAGTGAGTTAAGATCATGTGAGCTCAGTGTACCATAAGCTTCAGCTGTAAAGAACATGAAGGTTAAAAATAATTTTAAAAAATCTTTAACAATGTATTTTAGTCAAGGAATTTGCAATGTTGCACATTATATAGCAGCAATGTGTAATTTTGTGAAAAAAACATAGCAAGGTTTTTCTAGTAGTCTGTCTCAAACAATGCAGCTACAATAAAAAAAAGCCAACAAGTGATCGTTCATTTAAGATAATGGAATTAGTGCTGAAAGCCCTAGGCCCTACTCGCTTTTAGTAGATATGAAAACTGCAAACCATTACTGCTTTAAAGTGTAAAAAAAATCTTCCAAAATCAATCAGAACAGTAACCTCAGTAACATACATTAAAACTACAAAAATGACATTAAAGTTTTAATGAACCAACAAAGTTGTTACATATGTTTGTTAAATAAATAAATATGCATAAAAATGTTTAATCATGATTATATAAAGCTAAAATAGCTATTGAATCAATCAATTTAAGCACAATTTATTATTAACATTTTAAATTCACCAAATCTAAAAAATTATGCAAACTTACCATTTTTTATATCCATTTATCTTGGGTATTGTTAAGTTGCAATAAACTTGCACATGCAAGAAATTTAGTAAGAATAGTCCTACAAGTTGTGGATTAACAAAAAAATTAGTATCAATGTGCTGCATTTAATGTTAAGGTAAGTAAACATCAGAAAAAAATAAAGATAAGGAATAAACCTATCAAATGTGATATGCATAACATGGTTCTATCTATATATATAAATAAAGTATTTCTGTCTGTGGGTTTGTTTGCTTGTCTTTTATGCATTACTGCAACTATCATCCATTCACCATAAAACTTTAAGAAGTTATTGAGAATACTTCTGGAAAGGTTTCTACAAAAAAAAAATGTAATATTGGAGGGGATGTGCCAGGTCGGGTGGAATTTTGCACCCAGAGTTACCCCCAATTCATTAGCACTCAGATCTGTTAATTGGGTGTCCTGCATTGGGGTTCATCAGGAGTACTACTTAATTCAAAGATCAAACTGCGGCAGACATGTCCGCCTGTGCTCTTGGTTGTAGGGTGACCTTCAGCACCACGGACTCCCCTGTGAGCACTATGGCAACTTCATTTGTTTTAAAGAGCACCCTACGATAGGGACATGGTGGGCCACCACATTAGATGACTAAACTGAATCAGGAGACGCAGACCTGCGACCCCTGCTGTAGTGTAACCGGTACCTCACAAGAGCACCCCTGACACCTGGGCAGTAGTGTAAACAAACCTGGCCAATATTAACATTATCCCTTATCTATTATTAACTTTCATTAAAAGCCAACTTTGGAAGAGTACTTTGTCAAAAAAGGTCTGATAAAATCATTTGCCTGTGTATTATAAGTAAGGTTGACATTTTTCTTAGATACTGAGTCGAAGTGGCTTTTGAAAGAGCCCTTATATAAGATATAATTCATTTTCTAATGGATGAAAAGAATGGACAATATCTGTTAGTTAAAGTGGGATATGTACAGAGTTCCAGTATCATTTCTGAAATATTTGTATGCCAGCTCATCATTCAGTTAAGGTGTCAGATACTGTTGTTGCCAGAAAAAGCTGTTGCCTTAATCTATACTAATAGTTTCGCTGTCTGTGTATCTGACAAGAACGCTCTGTCTGACAAGAACGCTCTAGAGAAAACACAAGCAATTTAAAAACATGCACAGTAATTCGAAAAACGAAATATGACATCGACACATTTAGCGTAGAGTAGAACATAATCTCAAACCAGAGAGTGCACACAGTAATGTAATGACGTCATTGATTATCGCGTAAACATTGAAAAAAAGGAAATGTTGTCTAATCTAAATGGTTTGCGTGAAGAGTTTCTTGCATACAATTCTTCGGGTAGGGGCGAAGCCCCACCCCCCGCGTAAGAACGTCTGAGCCCCCCCCCCCCCCTCCCCAACTCAAAAGAAATTTCCTCATCGATACTCTATAATAAAATTACCGCCTAATTAATGTGTCTAATCTAAAAAGTGGTTTTCTTGCAATGGGACGGTAGACATGTTTTTTTTTGGGGGGGGGGGGGTGGTGTGTGGGGGGTGGGTTGGTTTCAGTGTTTCTTTCAGACTTTTTCCTCCCCAGAGAGGGGTGGGGGTACTTGAAATTTTCTGGGGCGGGGGTAGAATTTTCTGGGAGGGGGCGGACACTGGAAAAAGTATATAATTATATTTCGTTGAATGGGACGGTAGACATGTTTTTTTTGGGGGTGGGGGGGTGGTGGGTGGGGTGGGGGTGGGGGGTGGTGTGTGTGGGGGGTGTGGGGGGTGGGTTGGTTTTAGTTTAGAGAAAAGAGACAGCACTATCAACCTAGCGCCCGGTGTATCCTTCCTCAACGGGCCATTTTTCTCGTTGATATATGTTTGTATAAATCATCTGTCTCATTTCTTCTCCAATATGGACTTGGTTAGGAGTTATATATGTACGTATGTGTGTGTAAATATAGGCATATACATATTTTTGTATATATATATATAAATATATATATATATATATATATATATATACCTATTACCTTTAATATAGGGAAAAATTACTGCCTTTTTCTGCACTAGCCGCTCTCCTACATACTAAACTACATTCAGTACATTGACTATACTACTTGGAGAGCCTATGATTATCAGAAGTTGGAAAAATATTGTATTATAACTAAAAACTACTAAAATTAAATGTAAATATAGGCCTAGGCCCCAACTAAATCCATTTTTATTTTTACTATAATAAGCCAACTCAGTAATAAATAGTTAGTATAATTTATAATAATAATAATAGTATTTTTTTTTAGTATTACTACTCAGTACTATTATTATTATTACCTATCATTTATCTAGAATAATCTAAATCTATCTCTACTCTAGAATAATCTAGATCAAGATCTACTCGAGATCTTTTCTATATAGATAGTCTATTTTATTAGAGTCTAGTTATTAATTATTATATTAGACTTTAGCCTTAGGTCCTCAGCTAGACAGCTGGAGATAAGTTAGAATCGAGACAGACTCAGCTGTAGTAGAGTCCTAGACTAGGGCCTAGGCTAGTCTAGAATCTACTGGAAAGTTGTAGATCTCTAGGATTAGTTAGTGTTAGCGGCTCTTTACTCTTTTTTTATGTCTTTATGTGACCAAGTTTTTAGGCCATAATAATTTAATAAAGTAAAGCGCCTATTCGCTGAACCAAGCAACACCTAATCGGGAAAATGTAAATTGACAGTAGGCTTAGGTAACGGTCTTTAACATTACTGTCACGACTAGCATTGTTCTGTTAAGTTACTGTTATATAAGCGTCATATCTTGACCCCGAGCTATTCCGAGCACAACCGGATCGATCTCGGTTATTTTTTTTAAATGTTTCACGCATGCGCAAAATTCAAACTTCCTTCCCAGTTTATCGCTTCCCAGGGCTTTGAGTGTGGATGTGAGTTGTTAGTTAAAATTGTTACTGCTGAGTGTGAAAGATTTTTGTAAATTTTATTTTTTATGGATCCAAGAATTGCTTGGTATCCACCTGAACAATTAGGACCCGCTCATGATTTATGGACGAGTATTTGGGAACGTTTAGACAACATGCCTTTGGGATCAACATCTGACCAAAAACCTCAAGATTTTATTCCTCTGGACAGCCCGACAGACTCAAACACATTACATAAGAAGCAAGTATTGTTACAGAAAAGAAAGAGAAGCGATAATCGTGCATGTACATTTGGTTTAAACTTTTCAGTTAATACTAATGTTTTAAAAGACGGACTTACACCTTGGAAAAAGCCACACAAAAAATACGGACATGGTGTCATTGGGTAAGTCAAGAAAGCATCGTCATCATAAAAAAATAACCTGTGATGTCGACTAGTCTAAGTCTAGGAGTTAGTTAAGTAGAACTCAATTATAAATAATAAACTAGTATATATTATGTATTTAAAATAGACCTAATGATGTTGATAATCTAATAATAAATTTATAGGCATATAAGTATAAGCCCAAAGTTTATCTTTTTCTGGCTGGCCTGAACTAATCTAGATCTAGAATCTAGTGTAGTTACTGAACTAGAGATCTAGAATCTAGGTTTTTAGACCGTTAGACCCTAAAACTAAAATGCCCTAACTATTGGTAACTAAGCCTTATTTTGATATTTTATGTAAAGTTGAAGCTGGTGAATTTTCCTGTTCTAGATCTTGACTAATCAATCTAAAATTAATTTAAATCTAGAGGGCTAGGGCCCTAATCTAAAAAGGTCTAAATTAAATATTTTAATAAGTTAGGCCTGATCTAATTTTCCTTTTGGTGCCTTACAGGCTACTTTATTAGTAATATTATTACCCTAAAGTTAAAACAGACTACAGACCCTATAATTTCTTATGCCTATTTACTATTTGTTTGTTTTCTGTATTATTACATGTTTTACAGCACATAGGTTATGACAAGACAAGTTTAATCACATACTGAAGGCATTATAGCCAGTGTTGAATGGAGTGTTAATTAATTTTTTAAGGTTGAAAAGTAGATTCAGTTTAGGAATTTAAATGTTAGGCCCCTATTCTAAATATTTTTATTAGGCCCCTAATCTAATTTAAGTTGCATTTTGTAGGCCTAGTCTTTATGTTCAGTCCAATTTGAAATGCCCATGATCAATTATCTCTTCTTAACTCAGTAGGCAGATATATAGGCTAATTTGTATCAGCCAACGGATAATTAGGTATACCTGAAATAGAAGTGTTAGGTTCTTTCTAATATTGTAGTCTAGTCTAGTTTTATGGTTAGAAATTAGGATTGGGCATATGGTATAACTAGGGTTAGAGATAGAGTTAGCATATGTTTGTAATTATGTTACCTACCAGTTACCTAACACCCTTTTTTAAGTCGATTCTATGATTCGCAATTGTGCTATTATTGGGAACTGGTATAACAGATAACACCCATCTAAAAAATAATTAGGCCCATACTTTACTCTGTACTTGTTCTGATAGTATAAAAGGAAATACAGTATCGTACTGGGCATTAAGAGACAGATCTTTCTACCAGCCACATCTTTGAACTCGCCTTTTCCTCATACTACTATAACATTACCTAGACCTTGTTAGTTATGTTTTACAAAAAGAAAAGGGTAAATGGGTTCTTACTCAGTTTAAGATTACTTTTCCATTCTTTTTTTAATAGAATTTCAAATATCAATCGCGTTATAATTTTTGGTTCAAGTATTTTTAAGAATACTTTTCCATTCATAGTTTATTAAGTAGAACCTCAAATAACAATTTTTATAATTAAAATATCTTTAAACAGAAGATGCTTTAATTATATTAAATACATAGATATTTCTAGGGTGTTCAATAGGATGTTCAGTTGAAATAAATTACTTGATAAGTTATCTTGTTTCTTCCACACCTTTAAAAAAATGTTGGGTTTTCATACATACATTTACCTCTTGAAATGCAAAAACAGTGCAGTAAATATGCTGTAGATATATCTTAATGTTTATTTCAATACAAAATGTTCATTTCTTGAACAAATAACTAATAAAGAGCCACACATTTCTTAGTTTATGGAGGTAAGTGGCTTCTTTCTTTTCATTCTTTTTTATATATTCACTTTAATGCATACCAAAAAAATTAAATTATTTTTTATCTAAAACTCTTGCACTTCATTACTAACAAGTCACAATAAATTGATCCTTAAAAAATAAAAAATAAATTATTATTGTTGATTTTTATTGGATATATAATTACTGGCTGTACAGAAATTGAGTATTAGTATCAAAGGTAATACATTATTTATTGCATAATTTAAGACCAAAAGTAATGTAATTCTTTTTAGATCAGTTAACTTTATTATAAATTATATTATATGGAAAAACATGCTAATTCTATAAGTGTTCCTCTTTTGTCACGTTTTTCATCTATAGAATGTATTTACACTTTGGCACTATAAGCCTGTCTTTACTACCATCATCACTAACCACTGTGCATGGTATTAAAAAGTAACTTTAAAATTAATGTATTGGTATGGCAGGGCTTTCAATGCAAAGTTTGTAAATAATAGACCAGGACCAACATGTAATTGAAATGTATAGCAGAGAGAAAGAGTAGATACAATAGACTGATAACATTCATATCTAGTTCATTTCATGATCATGACACTCATTTTTTACATCATATTATTACAAAAAAAAGATAGTCACTGTTGTTATGGTTTCATTTGTGACACGAAATTTTTCTTGGAATTGAAACTGAAAGTTGAAATACTTTGAAGTTTCATAATGGCTTCAATGTTAATCATGTTTATTTTTACCGATTACTTAAACACTCCTCCATAAAATGACACCACGAATTTCCACACACACTAAAATAAAAAACTATCAGGTTTTTTTTTTAAATGTGTATTAAATACGTCACATTACTTTACCCACCCATCCACACCCCTACCTACGTAGCACATCGTCTCGCACAACCCACCCTGTGTTTGTGACGTCATTTATGTTTAAGGTTGCGGTGTGTCAATAATCACTTCAATATTTTATCTTGAGAATCATCACGGGTAAAGTTTATGGGGAATAGTTTTTCAAATCAAGTTACCTTGTTTCGTTTGAATGTCGCCTTGTGCATTATACCGTTATCAAAATGCTGTCGGATAGTCAAGTAACAAAAACTTGTATACTTTTATTACATTCATCTAGCAGGTCTGTGTCTAGATCTAGTATGTTGTTTTACAAAATAAATACATTTTGGGGAGGATGGGTGCAATATGATTATTTGTATGTTTACTTATTACAGCTATTAGAGTTTATCGTAGAATTATCTTGTTCTGGTGTCGTTGCCATATTTTTTTGTAATAGCATTTACATTCGTTATTGTAAAAGGCCAATATTTTTATTTTGTCGAGAAACTGCGAAATAGGAAGGTGGTTCTTCATAACTTTCCGCTGTTTTACTTTCTGGTGTGTTAGCTCTTGAGTTCACATCTATTTGCTACTGTGTATAAACAAGTAGTAGATTCTGTGTCGCCAATCGGTACTCGTGGTTTAGCGATTTCGTGTTATTACACCATCTCTCACCCGCTCCGCTTGTCTGGGCGTAAACCCGCTCGCTGTTTATTCACGTAGATCTCGTCAAAAATAAAACCAGCGCCCACGCAGTGTGCGCAAGCTACGAGTCATACGCAGCGTCAGCTATTTTCTCACATTCCACGAGCTGCTTATTCGTTTGTTTTCTTCTGTCATATGTATTACGGTGGCTTGTCTTTTTTGTTTGTTACTAACACAGAGATAAGACATTATCGTGTTTACTTTTAAAATAGATGAACCCAGTCTTGAATTTTGGCACATGTTCGTCCATTAATATAATAAACGGGACGACGGTGGTTCCGTTAATAGCAGGCGGGGAGGGCGGGTGATCAGCAACTTTTAAAATAAATCGGTAAAGGTGGTTTAGGAACGTGGTTGGGGTGGGGTGGCGCGGATTTTTATTTATTTGGGATATCATGATCTTAAATATTTTTTTAAAAGAATGAAATTTAAAACTTTTCTACAGTTTGCCCTTCCAGATGTAACTGTTGTACAGTGCTTTCTTTAAAAATTTGTTTTGCACTATTTTAATTTACCACTCACTTTTAAAACTAGTTATTTATATAGTATCTAATATCCACGTTTTAATTCAAGCGTTGTCTTTAGATTTATAGGCCTAATTAAGAATTGTAAACTATTTTCTCAGATTACATGAGGAGATCAAGGATTTTTATGCCTACATTTCCCCCCAACCTCAAGAAGCAGCAATGAGAAAAGCAGTTGTAGATCGTCTCAGATCAGTAATAGAAGAACTTTGGCCTGGAGCTAGGGTAATTGTTTGTCACTTTTTAAAGTGAAGTTTCATGAACTTTTATATATTAATTTTAACATTGCTTGTGGATAATGGCCATTGAATCTTGATGGATGTGGGGTTGGTTTTTTTTTTTTTTTTTTTTTTTTTTTTTTTTTTTTGTTAATTACAGCCTTTTCTCAAAATCAAGTTACTTGTTTATACTGTCATGTTATTAAAATGGCAAACTTATTGTTTCATAATTGACTTTTTATCAATATCCTGGGTTCACAAGTAAAAATCATAAAATTCAATAAAATAACTTTTATAAAATAGTAATAGAACATGTTAATTTTTTTTCACTTATTGCTTTAGGTTGAAATTTTTGGCAGCTTTAGAACAGATCTTTACCTTCCTACTAGGTAAGTTATGTAGCTCTTAAATTGCAAAACACTTAATTTTTTTTCTTTACTGTAAATACTTTAGTGTTTCATTTTTTATTTTTTTTTAAACCGGATTGATTTTTACCTTGCAATCTTATAAAACTATTACTGATTTATTAATTTTTATACTTTTTTCAGTGACATAGATTTAGTTGTGTTTGGAAAATGGGATTCGCAACCTTTGTTTACATTACAAAATGCATTGCTCAAGAAAAAACTGGCAGACCCCTCATCTATAAAAGTTTTGGATAAAGCATCAGTAAGTATAACTATTCATAAATTATATTGTTCATCTATTAGATATGTATCAGTGATTGGTCATTTTGACTGTGTGGTAATGATCCCCAAAAAAAATTATTTTCAGGTACCAATAGTAAAACTTACAGATGCTGAAAGTGAAGTCAAAGTAGATGTGAGTTTTAACATGGACAACAATCAGAATTATGGTGTTGAAAGTGCCCAGCTCATTCAGGTATTACTTTTTCACAAACTTTTGTTCATTTCATAGGTCTTCAAAAATAAATTTCCTTAAAATACTTGTAGTTACTTGGGATGTATGTTATATTTGTTCTTCGTTATGTGCATAACCTAATGTATCAAACCTGTTTTTCCTCAGAAATACTTAAAGGAATATGATTGTTTGAAATACTTGGTGTTTGTTCTTAAGCAGTTTTTACTACAAAGAGATTTAAATGAGGTTTTTACAGGAGGAATTTCTTCATACAGTCTTACTTTATTGGCTATTAGTTTTCTTCAGGTACACGTTTTATTTCTTGCAGTTAGTTAATGTCTAACACTGGTTGTAGATTTTAAAATTCTTAATATTTAAAATAAATTCCTTCTTTGTACCTTTGCAGCTTCATCCTAGAGAAGATCCTACTAAACCTAATTGCAATCTAGGTGTTTTACTGATTGAGTTCTTTGAATTGTATGGGCGAAACTTCAATTACCTCAAAACTGCTATTCGCATAAAAAATGGTGGAGCTTACTTGCCCAAAGAAGAGGTTTCAAAAGATATGGATAATGGCTATAGACCATCAATGTTATGTATTGAAGACCCTTTGAAAGCAGGTAAGGCAGACCAGCTTTCATATGTAAACAGGTATATTTAGAAGAAACAATTACTGTTTGACTTAATGTAGCATGTCATATTATGCTTCTTTTACATTTTAATAAGTTGGCATTTAAAATACTTAAATTTTCATTTAAAGGAAATGATATTGGACGCAGTTCATATGGAGCTATGTCAGTAAAGAATGCTTTTGAATATGCATACCTTGTTCTAAAACATGCAGTTGCACCACATAATGCACATCTTACCCATAGCAATAAAAGGTGAGGATTTATTTTATTTAAACCTAGTTAAAATACCACAATATTGCCTATACATTGACAGTTAGTGTTATTTTGTTTTAAAATGTGTAATTATATTTTAATTTTGATATAGCATCCTGGGAAGAATTGTCAGGGTGACAGATGATGTTGTGGATTATAGACAATGGGTAAAAAGTAAATTCTCAAAAAGTCTAAAATTGGTTAAGGAGAACATCCCTAGCATGTCACTCAATGCAGCAGCTTCTGACTTGTTAGAACAACCAGTCCTGCCCTCATCCAGTGCAAAATCAAACCGTTTAGGATCACAACAAAACCCAGAAATATCTTATGCTGCTGTTGCATCACGTAATCCAGAGGCATCCAGGTAAAAAAAATTTCTTGACATTCAAACTTACTCATTTCTAGCCCCTTGCTGTTTAATTCTTAACTGTTTAAGCTTTTAAAAAAAAAAAGAAATAGCCCTTTCAGACCTAGGGTCTCTATGAAAGATGAGGTAGAGCTCATGTTTTTCAACTTGAAAGGATTGTGTGGTCAGTATTCTATCCCATCTGCCTTTATGCTAGTTCATGATGATTCAATCTCACACTGCTGTGTTCAAATGCTTTTACACCCATAATCATTTGATAGTCGCTGAGCAAGCCGTATTTTATACTTAATGTATTAACTGTCCACTGTATACAAGAAGTTGAGCCCTGGCTGTATTTTTAAAAACATAACTTTGTAGTTTAAATTAAGCTGTTATAGTCCTATTTAAAACATTTGCTAATAAAACAATTATTAATTTGACCTTTGGCAAAATGTTTTAATTTTCTTCGTCTTAAACTAATGGTAAATTGCATTTTTAAAACTTTTTTGCAAATCGGTAAATATAAATGATTTCCCAATTAGGGGATCATCTCTCAGTGGATTAGCAGAAGCAAGGGGCTCTCAAAGTATGACAAGTCAAGAGGGTAATGCAGAAAGTGAAGCCAGTGATTCTTGTGGTAACAGTTCAGGCTACAAGTCTTCAGATAGTTCACAAGCTGGTTCAGATGGGAATGCTAGTGACACAGTAAGTATTAAGCTTATTTTTTTGTTGAGTGAGCATTGTTTTGCTTTGTATAGGTTGAAATTATGTTGAAAATTATAGGTGATGAAGTTATTTCGGGCAACAGTTTGGCCAATAGCTGTTTAAATTATCTATTTATTATTTCTTACAAAATGATTTTCTCTGTTTTAAGGATTCAGAATGCAGCAATGAGACCAATATGTCACGCCAACCACTTCCCATCTCATATCAAAATGGTGATAATGCACCAGGCTCCAAGGCTGGACGTGCCTCAGCATCAGGAGGACACTACAGTGGTGCTCACATTCCAAATAGAGAGTACACAAGAAGTAGAGAGACCTCCAAGCCCACTGTACCACAGTTGAACAACTCAGGGAGCAAACCTGCTCGTGATACCAGCAACAGTAGTGTATCTTCCACTCGCTCCAGCAATGGTAACAGTAATGGGACAGTTTTTTATAACAATCGTCATTACACTGCTAATTCAAATTTTGGAGGATATGTTCAACACCCTCAGCATGATAGTGCTATGTTCCATTCAGCTAATCAACAACAGTATCAATCCAATGCAGGATCTTCAAGAGATAATAGAGATACTTTCATAACATACAACACAAATGGTACATCCCAATATTCTCATCAAAGACCACCCCCAGGTCCTTTGAATAATCAAAGACAAGGTAATAAAGTTTTTAGAAACCATGGGACAAATAAACCAAAAAGAAAAAGTGGTAAGAGAGATAATTCTCAAAACAGAGGTGGCAGTAGTGCTAGGTGATGAATATCTAAGCTCTGTGGACAGAGCTTAGATAGTAGAATTTTAATCAAGTGCAGAGATAGGGCTGAATCAGTATAGCTTAATTAATCACTTTTAGACTGACATTATAAATTTGATATTTGTTAATCATTAATTCCGCTATCATATCCTTCAACTTAAACCATTGTTTTATTTTTTAAAATGCAGTAAAGTTTTGTTCTGCTTTTTAAAAAGCTTACATATTTTGGATATTAAAATAAGTTTTGTGATAAGTTACCATATAGTTCAAGTATCTCCAAAGCTTCTCTTCAATGTAGGAAAGCTGGTACTCTCACCCTAATATTGCAGCATTTTGTAGTTATGAAATTATATTGTTATTTAATTTATAAACCTATGCCTTCAATTTTAAACTGTACTTAATACAGACTATTTAAAAATGTTGAAATTGCAATTTCATCCTCCGTACAGTACTTTATATTTTTAACAGTAATTTTGACTAGTGGTTTTTTTTTTTAATGTTTAATTAATATAGCAAAATTGTTAGTTTAGTTTATACATTTTGAAAAATCTAAATATTTATTTACAGGTTACAGGAAGATATTTTTGTATGTCATAAGAAATATTTCTAATTCTAGTTGATTTATCTATAAAGTAATTTAAGAAGGTAGTTAATCTAGTTGTACATTTTTAATGAATATTTTCAGGCTGCCATTTGTTATGTTGTTGATAATTATTAATTGTTAAATCCAGTCACTCAAATGTACATACTTCATGTTCTGCATCCTTTGATCTTCTTATGGGTATGATAGTAATTTTTTTGTTTCATTATTTATTAAATTCTAGTAATTTAGTTAGATGCTTAATATGCATTAAGGGGCCATTACTACATGAAATCGCTGTTAAGGCTTTGGATTAATGAACTTTTTTTTACTAATTATAAAAAGTAAATGAATTTCTTTCTTAATTACAAGTTAGTAGGCAAAATGTCTTTGTGACTCATGTTAATCTTCCGTATTACCTTATAATTAAAATGCTGATGATTCTTTTAAGAAAATTTAATTATTGCTATAATACAATAAACATCAGTCTAATTGCTAGCAGAAGCAGATTTTGATAATTTTGTGATGAGCATATGTTTTTGTATTTTTTATTTTGGGAGTGTGAGATCCTTCCTCACTAATATATGTACTTTTATTATTACGTTGACAGTTATTATATACAAATAAAATATCAGTTATTATGCCAGAGTGGAAATTATTTTTGTCATAAAGTATATAAAAAAGAAATCAATTGTCAAAATAAGTTATTTATTCGGTTTTAAAAATTTCAGTTATTTTTTTTTTAATGCCACTCAAAAAATGTTCATTTGTTTGTTATCATTAGTTATACTAATTTCTGTGAATTCATTTACCACAGATTACAAAGTATGGAAATTCAGGAATACTTAAATTTGCTATGTCATAAACAGTGCAATGTCTTCTGTTCAGATAAAAAAAATTGTGACAAATTTATGCTAATTTATTAGTTTCAATCTTTATAATTAGTCAGCACAAGTTACTAATTTACAATCTCAGTTTTATTCTTTAAAGTATAGGATAATAATACATCTAATTTATGGCTTAATATTTTAACTGTATTTAAAATTGATAAAAAAATATTTTGTTTCTAAATCAAGTTATATTTTTGTTAACCTGAAACTATTTGATTTCATATTTTACTATTTTTCTTATGGTTTTCAAACAATTGTCTCATTCTGAATAGCCCTTGTTTTAAAATATTTTTCATGTAAACCTGCTTTTCTTCTGTGCCAAAAGGCTTTCCTGTATTTTGAGCTGCTCTAAAATGTGCTAATGATGCACAGTTTATTCATTAATTCTAATTCATAACAAGGATTAACATGTGATGCTCGCACTAATATTAATCAAGCAAATTTTTTAATGTGCAAATAACTTCAAGCATTCTTACATTTTAACTATTTAATATCCTTTTTAGCAGAAGATCTAAGCAGAAAAGGCCTTTTTTTTTTTTTGTTATTAAACTTGTGATTCTTATTTTTTTTTCATTATTGTTGATTTGTTATTTTTGTACCAGTTTGAACATCATTTTTTTTATATTCTGAAAGACTTGTGATTATTTAAAACATTTTTTGGTTTTTGTCAGAATTGTATTCTTTTACCTCAAACTTTTTTATTTTTAGTGGTGTTTAGAGGTATTAAAAGTAATAAAACAAAAATAATTATTTTAGCTTGCAAAGGCTTAAACTTTTAAGTGTTTTAAGAAATACTTTAATGATTTATCAACGCATACATGCACTTAAAGATTCATTCCAAAACGTAAAGCAGTATTATGTTTGTAATTTAATTATTCTAACTAATGTAGTTGAAAGACAAGTAACAAGCAAGAATATTTAGTTTTCTATAGAAAGACTAAAACCTGTTAAATATTTAAGAGTGATCAAATTTCCATTTTCTGAAACAAATTACTAAATTTAACCATTAGAAGAATTGTTGCATATAAAACAAATAGCCTCCTTCCGTTGCCTTGCTTTCATGTTTGAATCCTTCCAAGATGACGAAGCTACAAAAAGTGTGTACTTACACAGATCTATTATTGTAACAGATTAAACATTGATTCGTGCTATGCATTTGTGTAAATAATTTTAATAAGAATGTAAATATAATTTTAGCTAAATGGTTGTTTAACCTGTTTTAACACAACAAAATCGTATTTCAAAATGTATGTCTTATTTAAAAATACTGGCTATTGTTTGCAACATTGGGTAACAAACTGAATTCTTATTTTTGTATGCCTTCTAGACATGGTGAACGGATTAGAGTAGTGTTAGACTTGACTGCATTTTTTATTAAAGTTTTTGCAGAAGCAGGGAAAAAATGTCATGCAATTGTTCTCATGTACAAGTAAAATACTGCTTCGTTTGTTTTTTTTTCTTTGTTGAAACAAAATGATTTTTGTGTGAAAAACAAAGGTGTTTTATGAACATGCACTTGCCTGGTATTTTAAATCAAAATTATACATGATTTCTTGTTAACATTTTTTAAAGTGAACACCAATAGAAAAATACTGGACATATTCAGCTTCTGTTTTTAAACAATTTTAAATGCTGCTCACACCGGAAAATGTCATGAGTTTTTCAACCACATTTTATGGGGGTGTCTTTTTTTTTTTTATTAAAGGCAGGTACATTTTTTTCTAATTCACTCAGTTTTAAGTAATGACAATCTTCCGGTGTTATCTTGTACAAATTTGTGTTTATTTGGTGTGAAGAGTTTTAACATTTTAAATCATCCTTGACTTTTTAGTGCTTGAAATATAACTGTCATTGTATTGCGGTTTCAGTGATTGTCAGTGCAGCAAGTAGATTTATAATTTTCAAAATAACTATTGTCCATTCTTCTTTACCAAGGATTAAAACCAGACTTGATCTTCAATAGTTGCTTAATCTATTAAAACACGTTCAAAACGAGATATTAAAATAATTATTTTAAATACTTTTTCAAAAATGTTATTTGCTGAATAGAAATACCTTCGTTGATAAAATGGTGTTAAATGTAACTGACGTTCATGCATTTTTATTTTTTTACATAAATTGCACAATAAGCAGTTCATTTACCCAGGAAGTTGTTAAAATATAACATGTTGAGCACAAAAAAATGCATTAGCTTTTCACTGCTACATACCATTATCATTTATTTATAAGAAAATTCAAGCTACAAAGGGGTTCAAATAATCAAATTATATGAAAAAGTATTATAATATTGTTAAACTTCCAGAATTACCTGCAGATGATTAAACCTTGTTTCTGCTTGTTTAATTCATATAGATCTAGTTATTAAAATGTGGTTTTCATAGGATTCATTTGTAATTATAACTGCTCTAATTTATAAAGTGATTATAGTATTCATAATAATTAACTTCTTGTTAAAATATCTCACAATATATCATACCATGTTTTTCTCATTTCAAAGCAATTTAAAGAAATTGTTAGTGTTTTCCCCTTAATGTTCCAATCACCATATCACTTCATAAAACTGTGTGCTGTTCAACTAATTTATTTATTAGTTTAAAAAATTAGTCATGTTTAATTATATTTAATGATTAGTGTTTTTCTTTGAATGTATGTTAAGTAGGGCCTGATGACTATATTTTGTATACAAGGATTGTGTGTAGAAAATGACAGTATTTTTAAGTTCAATGGAAACTATTTAAAATGCATCCTAAAATAAAAAATTTAAAAAAAAAAACTAAAAAAGAAAAAAAAAAGTTAACAAAACATAAATTACCAAAAAAAAGGAAATAAAAAACATTTAAATGAATCCCAGTGTTGTTGAATTTTTTTTTCTTATGTCAATAGAATTATCATTTTCATACATGTATTGTACCAGGGTGTTTAAAAGCACCTTTAGATGTTGTTATTCCACCTTATTTTAATTTTGACAACTATCAAAGTGTTAAGAGGATTTAATGTAAAATGGTATTTTAAATTATTTATTTTCAAATATCTGGGTTGTGGAGGGGAATTAAGGGGTTTTGGATATATTATTACTGTTGGTATCACGAAAGTGCAAGACCGTAATAAATTCTAGCCAAGTCTTAACATAAAAGCTACTGTACATCCACCGTACATGGTAAGCCAGAATCTTGTTAGTCATTTGAAAATGTACTGGTGGAGGTGTGTTCACAATATTAAGTTTGTTGACGTTGTAGAAGTGGACATTGTGACAGGAATAGCTAGTTATCGACTAGGGGGGCGTAAGGGCATCATTTAATGGGGTAGGGGTAAAATAAGCTAGGCCTAGATCTACTTCACGTCAAAAAAGTGGATGGGCAGATGAGAGTAGAATTTGTCTGTTAGACGCCAATGTGGTGTTTAAAGACGACTCGTGTGAGATGGTACTAGGGGGAAGAGTCATGTGCGAAAAATGATGTGTAAACTGGCTGATTTAATGGTGTAGCGTAGAACCTTAACTAGACCAGGGGTCTCCAAACTTTTCAGTCCGAGGGCCGCATTAACTATCACATTTCAGTTCGGGGTCAGTTTCTTCCAGACATGTGATTTTTCTGAGCAAAGTTCCTCAGCCATCACCAACAAACGGGTTTTCCGTGGACAAAAAGATCTCCGCGGGCCGGACGAGAGGACCTCGCGGGCCGTAGTTTGGAGACCCCTGGACTAGACACTAAGGGGGATAGATTCGGCCTAAAAGCTAAATCCGTTATAGTTACAATGTACAGCAGTGATTCTTCCAGGCATCTCTTCGTGATGGCTCGCCCCCTCTCCTCCCCCCCCACCCCCCACCCCCCTCCGAAGAGAGTCTACCGCCCCCGAACGAATTGGAATTTATATAGAAAATATATACTTTTAACAGTGTCCGTCCGCTCCATCCGCCCCCCCCCCCCCCCCCCACTGTCAACATATGCTAGACCTACGACTACAAATATTTCCGTTAAAACCCGACCAGTAGCTTGTTATCACTGACAAGTTATCTCCCTCTACCTAGTTCGTGGGCAACGCTTAGTCGAGAAATCAGCCAAATGTAAGTTCCCCCTCGACGGTTGGCTAATCGAGTGATCGCTTGAGATTTGTTGCTAATTTAGAAATTTAATAACTAGATCTAATTGTCTATCTAATTAGATTAACAAATTGATGTTCATGTGCTGTCAAATGATTTTGATACATATGTCTGATAATAGACTCTTCCATAAAATAGGCGTGTTGTTTGTAGTATATGAGTATAGTAATCTCGACTAGTTTTATGGTTAGAAATGATTAGGGTTAGGCATATGGTAGGACTAGGGGGATCATCCAGAAATGGCGTCACACTAGTAGGGGAGGGGCTCCGTAATTTTGTGACGGTGTGTGGGGGGGGGGGGGGGGGTTCAGATGGTGCGACGTCACACTTTGGCAATATAAAAAAGCAATGATATTGTTAGATTACGCATTTTAGCCGTTGTTTCGCGTTTTAGAAAACTTTTAGTAAATTGTAATAGGAATTTATTAAAATATTCTGTTGACAGAGTTCAGATTTTGGAAAAATATCGTAATTTAAGAAAAATTCAACTGCAATTTTTAAGGGGCTGTAGAATGAGGTGTGACGTCATTTTAGGGGGACGTCTGGCTTTTTGTGACGATGTTTGACGGAGTGGAGGGAGGGGGGGGGGTTATAATCAACCAAAAAGGCGTGACATCATTTATGGATTACCCCTAGGGTTGAGGTTAGGGACAGAGGCTTAGCGAGGGGGGGGTTGAATCAGAGTTTCTTCCAGGCATCTCTTCGGGGGGGCGAAGCCCCCCCGAAAATTTTTTACCGCCCCCCCCCCCCCGAACGAAATGAAATTTATATAATTTATATATAAAATATATACTTTTAACAGTGTCCGCCCCCCCGAAGAAAGTTTACCGCCCCCCCGAAGATTTCAAGTGCCCCCCCGGAGAAAAAAGTCTGGAAGAAACACTGGGTTGAATACATATGTCCCCGGGTGCCGATCCTAGGGGCGCCAAAATGGGTTGAAAAAATTTTAAAAGCTCATATTTTACCTGCAGTTTTGAATAATAAATATAAAAATATATGGGGGGGGGGGTGCCAAATTGAAAGTTTGTCCCCGAGCGCCGGGAGGGATCGCTACGCCTCTGGTTACGGATAGAGTTAGCGAATAGTGCTGAATAGCTTTGACATTAATTAGCAAGCTATATGTGTATTTTAGTTAACTATCAGTAATTACAACCCACTTTTTTTTTAAAGAAGATTTTATTATCGGACACTAATATATAAAAATTACCCCCGCATTGTCATCGAAGGAAAAGGTTTGAACGAAATCGCTCCATTAGAAGTGGGTCAAAACTGAGTTATCAAATTTGACACACAAATATTTGAGAACTACTAGCCTACCAATGCATAAAAAAAAGCTTTTAATAAAGAACCAATCAGCTCTTCGTATTTGTTAACTTTGACCTCTTGACCTATATTGACCTTTGATTGATAGCAAAATTTTAAAAATAAGTAGGTCCCCAAAGCAAGGTACAATAAGAAACATGTTTCTCTGAGTCTATGTGCACTTAGTCCAGAATATGGATGGAATTTCAATTTCATAGGGTAGATCTAGATCTAGCTCTAGCCCAAGGCAACTAAATTACTAAGGTAAAATCTTAGTTTAGCGTCGTAAATTCGGCCAAAACTAGTATTAATGTAGGAGAGAGTGAGTGAATTATAATGAATATTGAATATTATAAATAATAATATTATTATATTATTAATTATTATAGGCCTATGTCATTAAAATAAATAATAAATTAATTATGAGTAGATCTAGATCTATTATAATCTATATTTTCGTAATCGTATGTTTTGATAAAATATTATAGATCTAGGCCTAAATAATTGAAGGTAATCTATCGTTTTAGGTACGTAAAATCGCCCGTGACTAGTAATGTGAAAAACAGGTGACTCCTTAAATTTTAATAATTATTTCACATTTTCAGGAGGATTTATGTTTTGAAAAATACAAAAATGTTTCCGTTTCATTTATGATTTTCAGATTTATGTACCTGTTTTTAAACAATGGAATTAAAACTTTTCAGTAATAAATGAAGACTAGCGATGTTTCCAATACATGCAACCATGCTCATTTACTATAGCAGCTATTTGTTTATTTTTTTATTGTAAACTTATAGCGCACGATTCAGGGGAAGCCACTCTAACTTACCGATGGCTGCTTTTTATATAGCAAATCCTGCTCGCAAACACTGCTGTTTAAAGTTAATTTCTTGCCTGTATTGATATATGTAGCCATTGATTTAGGTTTATTATTCATTTATCTATAATATTTGACACAAATATATCACAATATACTTCTATTAAAGCCTTGACAATGTCAATGAGGTAACTTTTTCGTACATTACTAGCCACGGGCGATAGATTACCAGATTCTAGAATCTAGCTAGATTCTAAATTTATCTACTTCACTACTATGATGTACCGTACTAGTACTAGTCGTCGGTCGTGTTACTGTCGTTACACATGAATTATACTATTAAATGCCTATATAATACTATATACTAGATCTATATATTTTAATTAAATGTTATAGATCTACTTGTTTGAGAAAAATATTTTATAAAATAGTTATTGGTCAAAACGCAGTGTGTTTTACTAAACGTTGAACAATTAGTATTTACATTTAGTGATAGTGACAAAGCAAAGAAATAACTAAATAGTAATACTTAGTAAATATTGAAAAGCTAGCCTATAGCTAAAAATCCAACACACATATAAAATAACATACTCTACATACATAGACTACCAATACCTATACTGTAACTTATTAGAAAAATTAAAACCAAATTCTATACATTATTGGTCAACACAACACCATATTAAATGCACACACTTATTAAGAGACTTAAATTATTTAAAATTAAGAAAGTTAAATTATTTAGTTAAAAACCCCGGCTGTTCAATGGTAGTGCTAGTTATGTTGTTTTTATTATTAGTTCAGGCTGAGAAAATTGTATACATTTCATAGTGTACGTCTTGAAAATTAGATTTAAATCAAATTTGAATGAAATAATCCATCCTTAGATTTAATAGGCCTATATCTAGGTAGGGCCTATATATGTTTCTTGACTTTGCCATATAAAGGGATAGTGTAATCAGCACTTTGTCCAGCCGCCGAATACTTTCTCTGATGTGGCTCAGGTACCCATCTGAGCTGGGTAGACTCAGGGACATCGTACAAACTCAGGCCTATGATCCATACTTGAGACTCATGTTGGTACTAGTGTGTGCTACCAAAACAAGTGTTTTAAGAACAGAAAATTAAATGCCCATTGGTAGCCTGCTAAACTAATTAGCGTCATGAAATACATTCATGCTTCAATTGGCATGCATGACTTTATTTTCATTGTATATTTAATTTTTTTTTATATGAATGTTTCTTTTTTTCTCCTCAGTGACTATTCAATTTTTCAAGCTTTTGTAAGCTGATTAATAAAATAAACTTGACCATGGGGTTAATCGCTAGATTAACTCACCAACTGTGCAACAAGCAATGTGCATCATCATATCTTAAAATCTATCACCGGACATTATGTATAAAAACACAGTTAACCTCTAGGAAGATTTTCTTCACTCAAAGTCATACCTTTTTAGGGACTAAGTTATCAATCAATTCCAACAAAGGTAAAAATCATTTAACATTTTTTCAATGTGGGCATATATCTTCACTTTCTAATGAGGATTTTATGATGCTTCCTGTGTATTTGCATGCAGAAAAGCATATAGAAAATACAGCCATTGTAGATGCTGAAGGATGTTTTACCTATGCAGAACTTTTTCATCATAGCATGTCTGTAGCTTTAGATATATTAAAATTGTTAAATGCACAGACTATGAAATTAAATGGAGAAAGAATTGCAGTACTGACTGAACGCAATGCCTTATTCTCGATATGCCAGTTTGGAACATGGTTTGTTAATGGCGTGTCTGTGCCACTATGTGAAGCCCACCCAGCATCTGAATGGGAATACTTCTTACAAGATGCACAGTGCTCTCTGGTTTTGGTGAGCCAGACATATCATGATAAGATAGCACCAGTCGCTGAAAAACTCGGAATCAAGCTCAAGGTTTTTTCAAGAAGTGAGTTTGGCAAAGATTTTGAAAGGAACCGGTGGTATCAGCCAGATTTTGCTTCCAACCCAAAGTAAGATTTAGAAATAAAAGATCGATTAAATTTATGAGTATATTAATTTATGTGTAGCATTTGTTGTATCTCAGTATTTTTGCTGCTCCTTTTTTTTTTACTGAATATGTCAGTTTGTGTACATTATAGGGACTATCTGCAGCCAACTTTTTAACTCTAGACAATGATTCTAATCATACTTATTTTTTAAAGTAATTTGATACCACAGCAAATTTAAGCAATTACATGTGGTTTACCGACAATATTGTCTTTTAATCATGATTTTAAGAATATATTTAAAATATTGTTCAGTAATGGGATATTTGTGACTCATTATTCATAGCAAATAATCACTTAAGTCACCATGGTGATAGTCATAAAGTGAAATTAATGTAGAGGAAATAATTAATCTAATGTATTCTATATTAAGGAAAGTAAAGAGGGTATACAAAGAGAGAAAAAAGCGGTGGTTTGATATGCCCCAGGAGCTTGTGATGAAAAAACCTGCATTGATTGTATACACTAGTGGAACAACTGGACCACCCAAGGTAATAGAAATTAACTGTTCCTAATTATGTTAATTAACATAAAGCCTTTATTTTTTAGAAGCTGCTCAATGTTTGTGACCGACATTGTGATTTTAAAGTGCATTGTTTTCTTGATTTATTGGGATTTTTTGTACACTTAAAAAAAAAATTCTTTACATTGCAGTTTTGCAATATAAAAATTATAATTTTATTTTAAAGCATAATGATGTAAATATTTTTCAAAGTGATACACTTTTAATAAGCATGACTTTATCTAATTCTGAAAGAAATATATATCTGTGCATTATGCAGGTCTAATGAGAATGTTTGCTCTTTAATAATATCTCTGTGTTTAATTGAAGTAAAATTATTGAGCAACTTTGCTCCAACTCTCTTGGTGTTGGGGGCGTGGTGTGCTGGAGTGCCAAATCTTAGTATAGATTGTACATATGCAGGCGGTTTTTTAACCAGATTGTTTAAATGAATAAGTATCTTTAATATTACCACAGCTAATTTTGATTGTCTTGTATGGTCCTTTGTTCTAGGGTGTGGTTCTTACTCATGGGAACATCTCAGCTATGGTGTATAGCATGATTCATTGCTGGGGGTGGACTTCTAATGATGTGATACTGCATGTTCTACCATTGCATCATGTACATGGAATTATTAATATACTGTACACATCTCTGGCTAGTGGCGCCACCTGTGTGATGGAACCCAAATTTGACGCTCAAAGGGTAAGACAACCTACACTACTTTTAAAAGACATGTATTACATTTTAAAATTCTATTGAACTTTTGTCGGATTTTAAAGTTAAATATGCTTGCTACAAAATTTTGACAAAAAAATTGGAATTGAGAAAATTAAGCTATTCATATGAAGGCCTTTATGTTGATCGACTAGTTTTTCTCTTAATTTATAAATTTTGTTTTCTTAAATATAACATGAGTAGACTTTGCACCTCATGAGTGTGGAAATTGTAGAAAAATTTCAAATATACACACACTTATATAGGCTTATATAGTACAATTTTTTTTTTATATTCCAGGTATGGGATCTTCTAACTTTGCCATCCATTAAGCACCTAAACCGCAATATCAATCTTTTCATGGCTGTACCAACCATCTATGCCAAGCTGATAGAGTATTTTGAAAAGAATATCAGTAATCCAAATGCATCTTTAACTGTTGAATTCATTAAGCTCACAACATCTTTAAAAATTAGGTAAATTTTAAAAAATAGTTAAGTTACAACATCATGTTTTTACGTCAGTAATTATTTTAAAACATAAATTTTCTTTGAATATATAATAATGTATTATAAGTCAGTATATATTTAATACTTACTTAACCCAATTTATTTATTGTCTGTTTTTATAATTTTAAATATATTTTTATTATTACTGTGTCTAAGGGCCAAATAAACTTTAAAAATTTGGTTTTGAATGTTATTTACTATGACATTCTTTAGACTAATGGTCAGTGGCTCAGCAGCCTTGCCCCAGCCTATTAGTGAGAAGTGGGAGAAGATTACTGGACATAATTTACTAGAACGCTATGGGATGACAGAAGTAGGCATGGCTCTTTCCAATCCTTTACGTGGTCACAGAATCCCAGGTATATTTTTGTTATTATGCTCACGAAGGAAATTCAGCAAAAAAAAATTTTTACCGCTTACTTTTTCTGTGCATCTAAAATGAGCCGTGTTCATTAGTTTTAAACTAGTTGATTACACATCTTTTAATCACCCTTTTCTTTTATCCACTGTCATGTTTCTATTTTTATTTTTAGCATAAGTGTTTTAAAGTTAATCAGAATTAAAGATATTTTTGTATCAATAATTTGTCATGTTTTATATAAGATTTGCTAAATCTATGTAAATGCTTATCTAAAATGTTGAATAATGAAAGAATATTTGAATTCTATAAAATGTATAGGTTCAGTTGGTAAACCCATGCCTTATGTTGAAGTACGTATTGTCAAACCAAATGTGTACAGCTCTCTAGGCTACGACATTTTGGCTGAGGGAAATTCAAGGCTCACTTTTGTCACACCAGGTTCGTCACAATTTTATTCTTGACGGACTGACTGCTTCAATTTTTAAGTCATGAAAGTTTCATTATGAGAGCTAAAAATACCTAATAAATTTTAAAAAACAATAATTGCTATCTTAGGTTTGAGTTTCTAGCACATAAATTAAAAAAATTATCACTTTTTAACATGTTTTCACCTCATCTCCATTTTTTTCTGGTGTTCTCTTAAAATCTAGCCATTTACTTTGTATCTCAGGTTCAGAGGGTGAAATTGGAGACCTGCTTGTGAAAGGACCTACTGTTTTTCATAAATACTGGAATAAACCAGAAGCTACTGCAGAATCATTCACTAAAGATGGGTGGTTTAAAACTGGTAGGGATTTTTTATTTTTAAATTTTTAAAATATAATTACTTTTGTGTCCACAAGTTATGTGTATTACACAATAAATGTGTATTACACAATAATTTATGCAACATCCTGAATAGTACATATTATTTATAAAAATGCATTATTAGCTCCTGTATTGGCCCAATCATGCTTTAGGGCGTCAAAGTTATTTAATATAATTTTTTTTTAAATATTTTTTTTAACAAATAAAGGATGGTTTATTTTATACTAATTGCAATAATTTTATTATATACTTATAAATGTGTTGGTAGTATATGTTTCGGGTTATGTTTTAAATTGTTATTTTACATATTGTTAATCCTGAACATAATTTACACCTTAGCTTAAAACATCTAACAGGAGACACTGCTGTATACAAAAATGGTGTTTATTCGATAATTGGACGCACATCAGTGGATGTGATCAAGAGTGGTGGATACAAGATTAGTGCGCTTGATGTTGAGCGCCACCTGCTGGCACATCCTGACATCTCTGACTGTGCAGTCGTTGGTCTGTCAGATGTAACTTGGGGACAAAAGGTACATTTCATTGTATCAATAGTTTGACTCATTTCTCTTAAAAAAGCTCAATTTTTACTTTGTATTATTGATATTCTGTAAATACTTTAAGCTCTTTATAAATGTCCTGTTCATAACAAATCTAAATTTAACAGGTTGCAGCTGTTATTGTGCAGAAATCTGACTCCAAATTAGATTTGGCAACTCTACGTGAATGGGCGAGGGATCGCTTACCACCATATCAAATTCCAACTGTTTTAAAGTGCCTTGAAGAAATTCCCCGCAATGCTATGGGTAAAGTCAATAAAAAAGAGCTCATCAGCTTAGTCTTCCCAGAGTATGCTAAGAAAAAATGGTTTTAAGTTGTAATTATGCTGTGGTACACTGAAAGGTTGAGAAGAGTTTTATTTAAGTATTGGGAGCAATTTTTTATTCTTTTTTGTTACCAAGCTGTTTATTTGAAACTATTGTAAGATTCAATTTAATTAGAGAAAACATTTAACTGCCAGTATTTGTAAATATAAGTTCAGTTTTTACTGACCATGTACCTGGTTAGGTTTAACTATTTTTTTTAATCTTAGATATCACCAACTAAAGCCAATACAGTAGAGTATTTCTAATTTGGTATAAAATTAGCTTTCATATGGCTCATACACTGGTTTTTCTATATGAGAAAGTAAAATGACCTCAGTGCAATTTTATCAAATATGTTTACAGGATCTGTCTTGTTTTTTAAGTAAAAATACCTACAATCTGAATTAGAATTTTTTTAATAGCAGAAATGTGCCTGATCAGAAAAAAAGTGTTACTTATTTAAATTTAATGTATTTGGTAATTATATTTATTTGTTACATTTTTTATTATGTGTTGATGTAATTTTTTTGTTTGGAATGCCAGTATTTGAACAGCGCAATTATCAGTCAATTTGAAGGTTGTTAATTATCCAGATGTTTGCCCACTATCTGTTCTTGGTAAAAGATATATATATATATATAAACAGGGTTTATATTTTCTTTGTAATTTATTTTACAAAGGTTGTAGAATTCCTGAAATTTTACAATATATATCAATAGTGTTATGGGTAGTGTATACAGCATGTATTTCAGCACATAATTTTTAAAGATTTGTTTAGAAGCTAATAATAGTATAAAGAATTGTATTATTATTTTTACTGACTTGTTTTTTCCCCCAAAATGTTGACTTGCTGTATTAAGAACCATTGATTAAAGGTATGTCTTTTATTTGAAATTTCTTGCTCTTACAGTGTCCTTATAAGTGGTTAAACTATGTTGATCAACATATCCATATCTCATGTTTTGAAATTAAGTTTTTGTTTTATATTTATCATTTGTTAAATATCTTGGCATTAACTAGTCTCAGCATTTTATTGCCTAATGACATGGTTTGTTAAACCACAAACTTTGAATATTATTACCCAGTAATATGATACATGTAACTGATCTTCTCACTCATATTTAAACAATAAACATTTTTAAAACCACCTTATTCATATTAATCAAGAATATTTTTTTAAAATCTTGACCTATTTGTTTGTGATTTTTAATTATCATTTAATATTCATAAAAACAGAATTTTAAATTAAGCGCACTTATGAGGCCTGAGGTTTTTAGATGACTTGACTTATTCTTTTGTGGCCCCTGAGGAGCAAAGGGCTGCACCTCTCCACAGGACTCAGTTTTGTGCCCATGTAAGCCCAGAAGCCCTCTCCTTCCATTAGACAGAACACTTACTTTTTAAAAGTTCAGACTGTGATATTTATTTAAAAATCACATTTAAGCCATTTATATTTATGAAATGTGCTAGTATCTACAGAAATGTTGGAAATATTAATTTATTCTTTATTTATAATAGAAATAATAAATTATAATAAAAGTGATTAGTGTGTGTTTAAATGTATTTTTTTCCTAAGAGATGCTTACAACAAATTTAAAAGAAAATTCCAATAGTATAAGAATTTTATTTTTACACAATTTTACTCTTGGTTAACCTTTAAAGGTTACTGGTTGTTTGACTAGCATGTTTCTTTAGAGACCCTATGGTCTAGCAGTCCCTCAGATGCCTTTCTCAGTCTTTACAAAGGATGTTTTGTTTTCTAACTTTAGAAACTAATTGGTCCAAATAAAACTCCTTCCAGAACTAAATGCTGACTCATTATTATATTAAACATTTATCAGGACGCTCTTTTATTTGGAACTGTAATGTCCTGGGCTCTTTTACATTGGGCGTCTTACTTAAAAATATAGCTTGAACTTAAAAGGGGTTGGTCAATTTATTAATTACTGCTGTCATGGGTGTCCTCTACTGAATTTTAATTAACAGCATACCATAATATTAATTATTTCTTATGCACAATAACAATTTACAAATTATTAATTAGGAATAGCAATTAGGCATTAGTCCCCTTTTTTCCCCCTTTTTTTTTAGGAAAGCATAACAGTGATAATGCAAAAACCTGATTTCTGTCAAGATCTGATGAGTACAAAGTACATAATTTGGTTTTGAAGTAAATAAATGCAGCTGGACATATCAAAATTTAGTGTCATTAGTTGAATATAATGGAGACTGTATGGAATCATTTTAGCTAATACTCAATAATTATAGCTTTGTGAAGCAAAAAGTAAAGTGAAAATATCAAATAATGTTATTTTTATTAAATAATATTTCCGCAAAATAGCGAAAACATGTACAAACTCATAAAAAGTATCGTTAATGTCTAGTCTCGATTTTGTTATAAACTGGTAAGTATGTACTAGATGTCTAAATATATTTTTAAATGTTATTGCTTGTATGGTATTTATTCACTTGTTATTAAACATAAAATGATGCAACCTATTCAATGGACTGTTCAAATCGATTGTTATTATAACGTGTTGGAATAAAAAAAATTCTATTGATATTTTCAAGAATATCGATACCTAATCTAATTTGTCCATACCTACCACTGGCGTTGTTGTAAGCAACAAATATGGCGCTCACTTTGACTGAAAATCTTATTCGAAATCGTGTAAATTTAACTCATGAAAATCTTGGTGAGTGCTGCTGATGAATTTGTTTTGCACTATTTTAATTCTAAAAATATCGTAAATAGCTTACTAATATTTATTATATGGTCTACCTCCTGTTAATTAATTATTTATCAGCACTAATTTAACATGAGAAACTCATTCATAACTCTGGTCGTTGTTGTGTCACATACAGTTCAGTACTGTAATCTGCAGATCAGCTGTTCTGTCTCATTTATTTATACCGATTTTGAATATTGAATAAAGTATTAAGTCCAGTAAGCAGATAGATCTCAAGTTTCACTTTATAATTAGAAAATTAGGCCTTTAAATTATTATTTTTTTAATAATTTATTAATTTTCTTTCCACCTTCCACATTTTCAGTTTGACATGTCCAAGCTTGTAATTCACAAATTGAAAAAAAATAGATCTAAACGTGTTTGCTTTCTAAATAATAAATATGTATCTAGTTTCTAAAATTAGAATCTATTATAAAGGAATAAAGGGGAGTGGGGTTGAAACTTTTATGACATTGTGGTGAAAAGGGAGTTTGACGTTAGTTTGTAAAAGTAGGATGTTGGGGGGGGGGGGGGGGCCAAAAATCATCATGCTGAATTTCGTTAAAGCCTATTTTATTTAGAGCTTGCTGCTATTATCATTATGTCATTTTCAATTTTATCTTATTCAACCTTAAAGAAAATCTTTTTGAGTCTAAATTGTAAGCTTAATAAAACACACACACATTTTGACAACTTTAAGTATAACCTAGAATTATTTTTTCATTGAATGTAATTGTTTAGGATACTTAATACTTTAACATTACCAGTAATTAAATACTACAAATAGCCTACATTAAATAACTATTTTGTAGCTGTATATGTTTTAACACAATAAGCGAAATACAACTAAGTTGATACTTGATACTACCCAGACTGTATGGAAAAAATCTATTTGTTGACTATTTAGATTAATTAATTTTTTAAATTAAATTTTCCTTTTGCTTTTCTTTGTTTCTGTCAACTTTAGAGGATATTAAGTCATTATCACTCCCTGGAACATTCCATGAAAAGATTGTGTCTATAGGAACATCCCTAAGAAAATTTTCTCGCCTAAAGTCCATCGACTTCTCAAGAAATGCACTTGAATCTTTGCAGGTAAAGAATACTAATATTAGCCTCTTTTTTACTTAAATGTTTTGAAGAAGAATGCATTTACTTAGTTACATAATATGTCTGTGAGGTTGTCTGAAAGTACATTGTTAGACTAAAGTAAACTAACCTGAACATCACACTAACATAGATTTATGGGCATGGATTGTAGGTGGATGGGGTTAGTATTAGAGAGATGTGTCTAACTCAAAAATATTAAAGAAATGTTAAAACAGAATTTATAGAGAAATATGGAAAAATCTATATATATAATTCTCTTCTTGGAGGCGATAGAAAACACCAAGCTGTAAGCGCGCTCCCCACCAACCCCACCCTTACATGGTCTGGTGAGCTGTGGTTCACGCTAAATGTTACAATCGTAGAGCCGGGTTTAGTGACGGCTATTAGGGGCAGATAATTTAGTTTGAAACAATTTTAAACTTAGGGGAGGTAACTAAGAGGAGTTTCCTTTCATTGGGGGGGGGGGGGGGGAGTTTATGGTAGGGGTTGGGGGAAAGGAAGGGGGGGTAATCGTCCTTAAAGAGCTACTAATAGTGTTTTAAAGCAAATATTTTCAGTTGCAGCGTTGGTACTGTCGAATTCACAAATTATGAATTACTGAAAAGTAGAAAATAAAACAACTAAATAGTCGTATATGATACGCCGTGGGTCGGCTCGTAATAAATATAATTATAAATATCTAGCAATACACCAGTGTCTTAGCATTTCATTGCAATAACAATCAGTATCCACAGCTTTGCGTGATACTGTGAGAATTATTATATAAATGAATTATTCAGTTCACAATGGTCTTTCTGCATTATCAAACACATATTGCATTCCTTTCTGGGTTTTTTTTCTGCTTATGCACACTATTATTTTCATTTTAAAATGTTAATTGAATTTGAAATCTACTTCCAGGGCTTGGAACATTTACAATTGCTGGAAAATTTGAATCTGTATCCTTTTCCATTCTATTTGGGGCAGCATATTGTAATCCAAGAGAATTGTTTGTTTGTATGCTGTTTTAAATAAATAATTTACTAACCATGACTTGTAACTATATAAGTAAGCCTTTTGAATAAAGAACCATTGCTTCAAACATTTTAACCAAAACAGGTAAAAGGTGATAACACTTTAAACACAGTTTTTAAATTTAAAAATAAGTTATCATCCTTAATTGTACTAAATATATTACAATAATGTGAGCACTTTAGATGAATTAAGACGCTTAAAACACAATCAAAACTTGAAGGAAATTGATCTGAGGCTCAACCCTGTGACCAGAAATGAACCTGACTACAGACTTTATCTTATTCACATGTTACCTAATCTACAGAAACTTGGTAATTCTGGGGGAAGGGTGTTCTTTATTTCTGGACATAGATGAAAACTTTAAATGATGAATTTTAAAATATCTGAAAGAAATTATTTAGGTTAGTCTTTAAATGTATTTTATTAGATCTTATTGTATTTTTTTCTAAAGGACTTTTTAAATCAGTAAACCTGGTGCCAGTGTTTTTTAATGTATACATATCAAACTTCCCATCTGCATTGGGATAACATTGAAAGGAGCAGACTTAATTTGGTTACTTTAAGTTTAAGCTAGAATATTAAGTACAGCATTTAGACACTATGCAGTTTTATTATTATTGCTATGAAATGTAAATAGTAACAAAAAGCTATGCCTCTATTTAAACAATTAACATTTTACAGATGACAGAGGAGTTAGAGATCGTGAGCGTCAGGCAGCTTTGACACATTTCAGCACTAGTCAAGCTTCCGAAATGGTTACAGAGCCAGTAAAACAAATGACAGTGACTAAACTCTTACCAAGGTCAGAAATGATGGTCAAGTTAATGAAGGGACCCTCAGGTACATGCTTAACACCACTTCTTCTATATTGATTTGTACTTCAGTGGTGCCATTTTTATTGTACATATTGTTAAAATAAAATTGAATTTCTAACTTATGTTGATCATTGATCTATGCTAAACTGCTAAAAAATAAAAAATTGTTTATTTGCTCCAGTTCTTGTTGATGACGATGTAATTGATGTCATGAATCGAAACGAGGGGGACTTCAGGAAACCTCGACCACTGACAGGATCAGCGAATAAAGATGACATAGTTGAAGATTATTCTCTTGAAGGTGAATTGTTGCTGTTTTTTTTTTTTTACTCCAACAGAGCCTACTTTCAGTGAATAAATAAAACCAGCAGAAGAATAGGTCTTAGCAGACATAAAGCTTTGTGGAATTGAGAAATGCTTAGTCTATTTAAAAAACTAAATAATTCCCATTTAAAAAATACAAACACCTTTTAGTAAATTTTGGTTTTATTTAATAATAAAATTTGCCACTTAAATATTGAAATTGTATTTAAAAACCAGGTTTTTTTTACATTCCAGGTTTAAAAACTCTGGATCCACCTAAACCAAATAGATTCAAAGACAGAGCCATGGGTGATGTAGAGGTAAATGTTTAATCTCTTCAACTTGGCTAGAATCCTTATAGTCTCTAAAATTGAGTAATTGACCAACAACAGCATCCTAATTTTATTTTAAACCCATTTTATTTTTCAGCTTGAAAAAGTTGCTAACCATGAGACAGAAAATGTGGATCCTCGTTTAATTAGGTATAAGGAGCTATATCCAAACATTCTGGCCTCTTCTTCAGATAATGTTCATCGTATAATTGAAGGACAAAGGTTAATATTGTACAACTACAACATTACAAATGACATACAAATTAATGAAGTCATTTTTTTTAAATAAAAAGAATATTGTTACTTTATTACTTAGAAGTTGTTACTATAAAAATTGCTATAAATTGTTAGTTTATTTCTCTAAAGCATTATTATACTATTGATACTATAAATTTTTCACAAATTTTGATTGCTCAGAAAAGACCCAAATCTTATGTTTACTGATCAAGAGGAAGCTAATGGTAAATTTCGCAGTCAGGGCTATTTTACACCACATCCAGCCAGTAGGTGCTACATTGTTTTTTTAATTTATTATAAGTAGTTGAAAGGATAGTGCGGTCTTCTGTTAGACTGTGCATGTGCTTAACTCAAAAGCCTTGAGTTTGAAACCGCTCATGAGCCAGAGGACAGCTAGTCATCTAGGAGAGGGAAACTGATGACAAACCCCCACTGCCTTGTTTGTGGCTAAACCCATGGGGGGGGGGGGGGGGGGGCAAGGGGAGTTAACCCCTAAATAAAATCTAGAGCCAGAGTCTCTAAGGCTGTACATTGCTTAGCACATAGCCGATGACAATTTGTTTAGGCAACACTTCTCCCTTGGGCCAGGAACTGTGTGGAGAGAAGGTGTGCACCGGATTTCCAATGTACAATCATCCAATTGTCTTTCAAGTCTGAACTTGTGTTATTTGTTGCCATATTAGTGTTGAATTGTGAGGTTACTGTGGGTTTTTTTAATTAATATTTATTACAATATTCATTTATATAAAATAACTTAACTAGGATTAGTGGTAAAAATGGTAACCAGAAAAATGCGTAATGGAAAACTGTGAAAGGGAATTTTTATTATATTTCGATAATGACTAATCCTGCATCAATCTGAACATATCTCATAATTAAGTATTTGTAAACAGCCTTGTACCACTGATACATCCTGGAGGTGAAAGTAAATATAAAATTTGTAATTAAGGTAAACATGAGGATTTGCATGCACCACCCAATGACAGGACAGAATACCAACAGTGTTTTATGGTCCCAGGTGAAAGGAAATCCAGAGTGGATGGCATTTCTCAAGACGACAATATCAGAAAAAACAGACCAAGACATATTAGGACTCAAAGCTTACCAGCAGCCGAGGTAACTACAGAAAAATACTCCATGTTACATCCATCAATTTAACATTTTAATATTTGGCAAAGCTTTTGAGTAATGTAACTGTTGCAATCTAAATTTGACATGGCCACTTGTGTGGTAGAGGAAATCGAGTCTGAAATGTTGATGTAATTGTAATGTTAGCATTGTTTACTATAATGTTAGCATTGTTTACTATAATGTTAGCATTGTTTACTATAATGTTAGCATTGTTTACTATAATGTTAGCATTATTTAGTATAATTTTGTGTCTGTTGCAAACATGTTCACTTACATTGCTATTAAAAAAAGACTAAAATCATTTCTACTTTATTGAAACAGGTTTTTCTGTTGTTTTTTTTTTCAATTGAATGACACTTTAAACTTTGACTAACATTTATTTCTAATTGTTTTTTTTTTCTAAAATGTTTATATGGATGTATACTACATTAAGTTACAATTTTATGTCATTTTAATTTACACAACTTGTTTTAATGTGTGTATACTAAAAGTTAATTTCCAGCTATTCTACACTACAAATGTCAATTTTTATGATTGATCAATAGACATCTGAAATACTGCATGTGTCAAAGTGTGTTTACACTCATTTTTTTCAATTGTTTTGAGGTTTTCCATGATGTTTGTACACATCCAGATGTTTTTTTTATGTTTATTTCAGCGCCTCGTCGATGCCGACCAAGCTAAAGAGAAAAATCTTCTCTTTTCAATGCTCAACCTAGTTGACAGATACTGGAATGGAACAAAGTCACTGCACAAAAATCCAAAGTTTATTGGTAAGAGAAATGTTAAGTTTATTACATTGTTCTTCTATTGAATGTCTTCTTTGCATTATGAGTTTATTATTTTTCGAAATCCTGATTTTATCCCAGTTTACCAATTTAATTTTTTTTATATTTAATGCTTATTTTTAATATCTTAACATCACATCATCCTGTATTTTTATTTTGTCAGAACAAGCTCTAAAATTTATATCAGAATATACAATGACACAAGGAAACATAAATGATAAAATGAGCGCCTTAAAACAGACAATGGAGTCATTGAAAGAGGAGAATAAAGTTTTAAAAAGGCAGAAAGAAATAGGACAGACAGAAAGTGAGGCAGAGTTGAAAATTTCTTTGAGGAAAGCTAAAGAGGATATGGTGAGATACGAATTTTAAAGTGAGATTTGAATGTTTTAAAAAACAATTATGCATCTCTAATGTATACAGTCCCTTCTTCACACCCTATCCACACAAGATGAATAAGTTATGGTGCAAGGGGGGGGGGGGGGGGGATTGCACCGGGTTACACTTTTTAGGGGGATTACACCAATATAATATATATAGAGAGGGAGAGAAGAAAATGCTTTTTGCTAGTTAAACTAATAATTAATGAGAGTTAAAAAGTATTTTAAATACAAATTGATGACTTAGACAAATGGAGGGAGGGGTGACACTATGACGTAAACCTGCAAACTATAGAGAAAACAATGCTACATCCAGCTGTAATAATAACCGACCAAGGATAAGCTTCATTACTATTTGCACACTTTAAACCTATCACCTGAAGGGGGGGGGGGGGGGGGGGTGACACCAGCTGCTAAATTTACAGAGGAAATAAAAGTTTAGTTGAACATTTTCAATAACAAGTAAGTCAGTCAATGACCAGGTTGGGGTGACACCATAAGGTGCCGCACTGGGTGATACCCAGCCTAGTGACGCCACTGCTTATGATCAATCAGTCCCTTCTACACACCCTCCCACATATGGTCACAGTCCCTTCTATACACCCTACCCACAATATGGTCGATGTCCCTTTTACACACCCTACCCACATATGACCAGTCAGTCCCTTCTACACGCCCTATCCACATATCAGTCCCTACACACCCTACCCACATATGACCAGTCAGTCCCTTCTACACATCCTACCCACATATGTTTGATGTCCCTTTTACACTACCCTACCCACATATGACCAGTCAGTCCCTTCTACACATCCTACCCACATATGTTTGATGTCCCTTTTACACGCCCTACCCACATATCAGTCCCTTCACACCCTACCCACTTATGACCAGTCAGTCCCTTCTACACATCTTACCCACATGTAGTCTATCAAAGCCCTATCTGATTTTTATTTTGCTAATGACTCTGACAAAAGTGTTTGTGATTCACTTGGTACAGGAAAGATTGCATGATGAGGTTCGTCACTATGTCACTGAAAACAGGGATCTACAGAAGAGATTGCAAGCTTACGAGTCAACTGTGGATCCTTCCCATTATAACAGTGCTGCAGCTGCATCAGACAGCGGCTCAATTAGCCAAACAATGATTGGTAGGTACTAGGTGTATTAATTTTTTTTTTATTGATTGCATAAGAAGAGATTTGTTAATTATTCATTTTTAATATCTAACAATTGTTAACTTAATCGAACCTTATCTTAAGGTTCTAATTCTAGATCATTTTTAATTCACTCTTTTCCCTTGAGTAGGTACTTGTCAAAGTGGTAAATTTAAAAATTAGTATAATGAAAATAGCAAAGGACTAGATAGAAATGTTATCTTTGTAGCTACCAGTATTTTAAAACAATTCCACTAACTATTTTGTTACAAGCAGGTTCAAGTATATATTTTGAGTTGTCACCCAACAATGAATAAGAACAAAACTCAAATTTTATTAAAATAATCTGTGGGGAATTTTTGTCATTTTCTTTCTTTAGATAATTTACAACGCCAAAACAGTTTGTTGTCTAATGAGATAGAAATGATGAAATCCAAATTAAAGCAGTATTATCAGTTACAAGACTTAGCCAGTATGTTACAAGAAAGCCATAAGTAAGTCTTTATTATGTAAAATCAAATATATCATTGGTGATAATAAAAATATCATAGGCATTAAAAACAAAATAAACATACATTTTAAAATATTTCTTAATCTGATACAGATTAAAATATCTCTTAAAATCCAAAGCTTTTTTTTTAAAACATTAGCTTTTCAAACTCTTCTAACCATAGTATTTAATGAGCGCACATTTTATAACTATCGCAATTTTAAATGTTAATAATCACCTGAGACATTACTATTTGATTACAGATCGCTAATAGAAACTAATAACCACCTGCTCTGTGAGTTACATGATGAGAAACAAAAGCATCAACTTGAAATTGAACAAATGCATTGGAGCTATGAACAGCTAAAGACCAACCTTAGTCACAACTCATTTATAATCCAGCCCAGTCCAAGAAATGACCACGGTAACAACTATGCAACTTCTGGAAAAAGTAATCAAAACAAAGAAAAAGAAAGCAGTGTTATTCTGTGACCAAGATGATAATTTAAAAGTGCCTTTAACTTTTACTAAGCAAAATAATAGAAATTTATTTTTGTCATTCTTGTTTTGTATTAATTCAAAGGTAATAATTCATGGTATGCTGAAAACATACATGGTCTATGTGAAATGGGGCATATGTGTATAGTTGTCTATATATATATATTTATATATTTATATAATTAAAATATAAAAACTATTTTTCTTTTGAAAAGCTATCTGCACTAACAAATACTATAAATCTAGTGTGTATAGAAAAGATTTATACCCAATTTTTGTTGTCTAAAAAAAGAAACATGGAGCCTAAGTTTTCCATATGTAGCTTTTTTAAACTGTAAATAATATTTCTTACCTATAGATCTAGAATTAGAATAGAATTTCTAGTCTTCCCGTATTTAGTTATTAGGGTATTTTACTTTTGTATTATATACAAATATATTATTAGTGTTTATGATAGCAGGTTATATTTTATAAATCATTAACTTGCTAATTTAAAGAATTAAAAAACTTACCTCAGAGACAGTAGTTTTATTTTATTGGTGTTTGATTGCTATAATAAAATAATGATAATAATAAGATATCAACTAAAACTTTTCCATTGCTATGATAGTAAAATTCTATGGTCACTCAAGAAATCTGTTGAATTTTTTTTTTTTTGACAAATTTATATTGACAAACACTTTTTATGAAATAACTAACACTTAATTTATTTTCTTATTTTAAGTGCATTTAAAACCTCGTTTGATAAGTTTCTTTTTTTTTTTAACTTTTGTGTTTAGGTATTGTAAAACTTTAACACCAAGTCAATTTTTTTCAAAACAAATTCCAATGACATTTTGTTCTTGCCAAACTATGTTTAAGTTGCCACAGGTTACCTCAATACCTGTGTCTTGATCCCTTCGGATAATTTCTTTTAATTGAATTATGTCACTGGTTCCAAACTAGTAGAGCTAATTTACACTATGTTCTACTTGTTGATGTAGCGCCTAATCTGTGAAGAAATATCTGTCATTTGCTGTCTCTGCAAATTCTAGAGTCATTGACCTAATTAGATGTTAATTTAAACTTTTATTGTAGCCTATAAATAAAATTTTTACCCTGAGCAAAACAACTGCTGTAGTCAGCTTGTAGCCTAATGTGATCAGTGCACTGGTGTCACTAGGTGCATTTTCAGTTTGATGTCAACCCTTTCCCAATTGTTTTATTTTTTTTAACGGAATAAAACATTGTTTTGAAAGTTAGTTTTACAATTTGGTGTCACCCCAAAATGGTGTCACCCAGGGTGGTCCTCACCACCACCCCACACCCTGCCTTTTGATGATTCTGGATCATAAGCTCTATCATGTGTCTGTAGTGGCTTTTAACAACATTGGGTTGTTTGTGAGAAGAGTTATGAAATTAGCAAGTTTTGCATGATTGTGTCTTTAGTTTTGGGTGCTTATCATTATCAGGATTGAGCTGTTAGAATGAAAATAGTTATTGTAAAATGTTAGCAGCCAGCAGGCTACTATCCTTCAAGAATCTTAATATATCTTTGGCAGAGTTTATTAATTGTTAAACTACAGTGATACCTTGGTATACGAGTGCCCAGACATACAAGATTTCGGAGATACAAGCAGTCGAGTGAGGGATTTTTTGCTTTGAGTTACAAGCAAAATTTTAAATACAAGCAACATCCCAAAAATGTGCAACTCAACATACATCGCATCTATTTAGTGACACTTGCCAACACATTTCCTGCAAAATTGTGAAAGGGAGGAAGACAGAAACCTGATTAACAGATTTTGTTTAAATGGCCATCACATAAAAGTGAGTAAAGTAGTGTGGCGAAACAGGCAAAGATTCGTGAAGAGAAAAGGTTTGAAAAATAAGCTTGTATAATAAAAATTACTAATAGCATTTAATCAACTATGTTCAGTACATTTTGGTTACGTATTTAAATTAAGTTTTAGGGGTTAAGTATAGCATTAAGAGTGTAACAAGTAAGTGATTTAAAGTGACTAAAATAGTTAAGTGATAACAATGTAAATTGTATAGCGTAAATAAGCAAAGTAAAACTACTCCGTCTATCACCTCAACCATGCACCTCCACTAGCAGCTTCATTAAGATTCAAGTTGGCAGATTTACAAAGAATATACACTTTATAAAACCATTTTATTGCTTTACATTCTTCTCTAATTATGTTTTTACAAACACTAGCCGGCCAGGACCTACACTGGCCTCTGTGAAAAACCTATCAGTAAAGGACAATCAGAGGCGTAGTGACCCTTCCTGGTGCCCGGGGACAAAACTTTCTATTTGCACCCCCCCCCCTCGAACTTTTGATTTACACCCCCCTCAAACTTTCGATTTGCACCCCCCTCAAACTTTCAATTTGTTTTTCCAACCATTTTTTGGCGCCCCCCCCCCCCTAAGGTCGTCGCCCGGGGACATATGCCCCCCCTCGCTACGCCTCTGAGGATAATGACTTGTATGTTTATTAAGCATTATATACCCGGTAATGTCCGGGTTTAGAAAATATATTACTTTTCAAATTAACCCTAACCACAATCAACCAAAACACAAACACAAAAAACGAAAACAAACAAAAAAAACAGACACAAACAAAAAAGGAAACACAAATGAAAACGCAAATACAAATAGAAATGCAAACCTAAACGCAAACAATAACTCAAAATAATGCAAAAGTAAACGCGAACATAAACACAGACTTAACTGCAAACATAAACGCATAGTGCTCACAATCTAGTCCGGGGGCGCCACAATCGTATGTACTCCCGGCGTGCCGGCTGAATCGCCTGTTTCAACTTAGTAGATGACTATAATACCCCAACTTATCCATAGTCTTTTGCACTCACTTAAACGAACGTAGACGCCATAGCGCTCGCGGGAAGGCCAGGGGTACCAAATAGCACTCTCTGGGCGCCAGATGACGCCCTGGATTTGATTTAGTGATGGACTTTAGTAACCCTTCTTATCCATAGTCTATTGCACTATCTAAAATGAATGTATGCATCATAGCGCTCACAGGATAGCCAGGGCGCCAAATCGAACCCTGCCGGGGCGCCGGCGGACGTACCTGATTCGATTTAGTGAACGACTATAATACCCCCAGCTTGTCCGCAAACTCAAAGATAGAAGTAAACATAGAGGACATTTAGGAGCGGCTTCTAAACTGTTATTGATTAAAAATAATAATTAGTAAACAATACGTTCAGTGTATAAAGTAAAAAAAAAAGGCAGTATTTAAAATATCCGTGTTTTACCTACCATAATGCACAATCCATGCTGTTATATAATTATTTTTTTTACAAACTAATGTCTGTCCAGAAAAGCCCTGTCGCTGATGCAAGAATTTCACGGGCGTAAAAGGTAGCCCGCCTCTTTTGATATAGATGCAGAGGCGTAGCGAGGGGACGCGGGGGGGCGGACCGCACCGGGTGACACCATTTAGGGGGTGGCACAAAGGCAAAAAATAGCAAAATATATGGAGAAAAACTTGAGGGGGGGTGAGTACACATCGAAAGTTTGAGGGGGGGGTGCAAATCGAAAATTTGAAAGTTTGTCCCCGGGAAGGGTCGCTACGCCTCTGGGAGGTGACACCGGGTGACACCCGACCTCGCTACGCCACTGTATAGATGTATTTCTGATGTCTAGACATTCTAATATTTAAACGCATTCCATAAACCAACTCCTTTTGCCCTTTAGGGTTGGGCTTAGGGTTAAATGTAGCAAAATACAGTCCAAATTTCAACCACTTTAATAAAATCTAGAAGTACAAGTTTCATAATCATAACCTCTTTTTAGTTATCTTTTTTTTTTTTTGGGTGGCGGTTAACTTTTTGGCGGGGCTTATCTAGACAGGATCCGAAACTGAAACAGAAATCTAGATGTCTAGATCTAAGTCTACCGCCCCCCGAATGAAATGAAATTTAAATAGAATATATATATATATATATACTTTTAACAGTGTCCCCCCCCTCCCCGAAGAAAGTCTACCGACCCCCCCCCCCTGAAAATTTCAAGTACCCCCCCCCCCCCGGAGAAAAAAAAGTCTGGAAGAAACACTGTGTGCGACAGTGGGGAAGGGAAGATTCCCGATTTTAATAAATTGTATCTTGCTAAAATAGCCCACTCCCCCCCCCCCCTCCCCCACACCCCATACACACACGTCACGTGTGGAATAATGGGTCAAAAGTATTATGTAACTTTAAAACGTGCGTGATCCACATCGTGTGTTGTTTTTTTTTACTTTATTAATATCAGGCCGGTAGTTAGAATGGAGCTTGATCTCTTGTAAAGAAATCTATGAATACATTTTCTTTTTTAAATTATTATCTCCCTTATATGTGTTAACTTGAGTATACACTATACAACACTATACTTAGTATACTACTATTATTTATTCGTTTACTGTTATTCTTTTATGTTTTATAGATAGATATATAATCTATAATTATTGATTCTATCTAGATCTAGAAGATCTAGAATCTTAGATCTCTAAGTTCTAAATCATGCTACGAATTTTAGTTGCCAACATTTTGCATTCAAGACAGGTTAGAAAATGTGTTAGTGTGTAGATCTAGACTAGTAGTTAATAATAACATATATAATACTTAGTTAAGTTAGTCACTGGTGTTAGTCAATCTACTAGATTCACTACTAACTAAAACTAAGTAATTATTATAATATTACTGTAAGACTAAAGTTCAACCTGTAAGCAAGAATCCAGGTCTATATAATTATATATATACTAGTAGGGATTTAGGTAAAAAAACACTAATCATCATATAAAAATAAAAATTACATATTCTTGTAGAGCTCAACAATATGAAAACAAAACAAAAAAGATTTTCTGTCTAGCTCAAATAGTTTTTTTTTGGCGAATTTTTTTGTGAGGGGTGGAATCCCCTTGCTTTTGCATTGGCCAATTGTGACAAGTCATGGTATACCTGAATAAATTGAGCATAGTTATTTTACTTGCAGTTGTATTTTGTTCATATTTGCAGAGTTTAACTAGAATGATATATAGAACTTGTAAATGCTGTTGAAATTAATAAAAATAATACAGAACTTATATTTTTGTGTTGGCTTCCTCCCATAACCCCAAAAAACTGTGTGCTGCGCAAATATGAAAATGTTTCTAAAGCCATATTTTATATAAATACAGCAAATGAAAGAACTACAAAGTTAGAAATCTAAAGTAAATGACTTGAACACTGTTATGTGCATATAATTGCCTCATTATTTTGGGCAGGTGAAGTAGAGTCCATCTTTAAGCCATTTTGTTATAAAACTGCTGCGCAAATATGAAAATGTTTCTAAAGCAATATTTTATATAAATACAGTGAATGAAAGAACTCCATAGTCAGAAATCTAAAGTAAATGACATGAACACTGTAATGTGTCTATAACTGCCTTGTTATTTTGGGCAGGTGAAGTAGAGTCCATATAAAAGCCATTTTGTAATAAGTGAAATGAAGTTATCAGATCAATGTTTTTATGTGTGAATTGTGTATGGATTCTGATTTTCAGCATATAACTATATCTAAGGGTAAGTAGAACTTGAATACTTAAAATTACAGTTAGCACAATGTTAGTGTATAGCAACAGACAGGTAACCTAGATCTAGGTCTGACTCTTGTCAGTCTAGAGTAGAGTCTAGTCTGACAAAATTGGATTTTTAGGAAAAACATATTCTAGAAAACTAGAACTAGAGCTGAAAAAATTAAAGATGGGTATGTAAATATATTTTGAAATAAAAAATTAGATTTGTTTGCACATGCCATAAGATTGCTGTTATTAGTTGATCAAACTTAAAGGCAGGAAGATCGGGATGAAAAAATATAACAATGGTGGCATCGTGACCTACATACAGTGACTACGTTCGGAGGGGTATAACTAATGTCGGAGTCAAAATATCCAAAAACAAATTTCATTTCCAATTACTTAAGATATGTCTGATCAGTAATCTACTCTCATCTAGAGGAATCTTTTAAAAAATCGAGATTCCAACGTATTTGAAACTAACCTTGATACAGGGGGAAGACCAAAGCAGAGACAGCATGCAATCAGGTCGCAAAGCCATTAAAACTAAGGGACAACCACTCTACTTTTTAATTAACCTTAGGAAATGACCTTTTAAACTTAATTAATTACCATAAATTAAAAACTTATTAGTATGCAAAACCAAATCTCGTGGGTCCGGTATCAGAAAGTAATGGGCGATTTCGGGTCATGTTTTTACCGCGAACTCGGCGGATGCCGACAACCCTAATACTAGCTGCATACCCGTGCTCCGCCACTGTTAATCTTTTTCAAATGTACCAACCTTGGAACAGAAAAAACTAAACACAAACACAACACAAACCCAACGCAAACACACAAAAAAAAACGCTTTCTTTTCCGCGCCCAGAGAGAGTCTTTCCAGTTTCCAGCATTCTCTAAAAGTCTAATTTCACCATCCGTTTTACTAACACCAGAAAAACAAAAACAAATAATAGTGATTTTGAGAGATCATAGACTAGTTAGAAAATAATATAAATAATCTTAACATTTTTCTGTTTGAATTATGAACCTTAACATAAAATAATCAATGCGGTAGTAATAAAAAAAAATAACTTAAATTATTGAGAGTGAGTTGAATTTCTTTTTTGAATTACCTCCCCTGGCAAAATTGTAATATTTTAATTTATTATGTATGTTTCTTGACCTCAGCATTTGAAGTGATTGTATGATCAGCACTTTGCGGCTGCCTTTACTTTCCCCAATTTAAGACAGGCACCCATCAGAGCTGGAATGAACTCAGGAACGTCCCAGGCAAAAGTTGAAACCTAGATACAAACTCGAGACCTTCATTTTAGCAGCCAAATGCTTTACTATTCGACCTTGCTATCCTCTAGTTGTAGTATATAATTCTATAATTTTAAAAATTCATTTTGATTTGATTTTATTTTGTGCCTCTGTAAGTTAATCAGGTACTATACAGTAGTAAAGAGAAGCAACCTACTTTTTACTTTTATCATATTATGTAAAAAAATATTTAAATGAATAGACTATATTTATGCTATTATATAATAGTGTCAGAATAGTAGTAAAGGTATACTCTGGCTTAAGTAATAAGTAAGCTAACCCAACAGTCATAATTATAAATTAAAAAGTAACAAAATTACAAATGTCCAAAATAGTTAAGGGAATGGTTTCCAGGAACCAAGTTGCTCAAAAGGGGGGGGGGGGGGGGTGGGGGGGGGGGGGCAACAACCTGAATTCCAGTTGCCTAAATGACATCCTAAACAAAATATAATATTTAATGAAGTAGAACTTGAAAATGAAAGGTTTCCAAACACACTAAAAAAAAACAGAAATTTGTTAGAGATTTTTATTTTTAAAAATTATGAAAATTTTTATACAAAGAAACATTTTCTTTTTCTTAAACTTAAATGGGTTATAAACCACAGAGATAAGATATCATTCATTGGAAGATGAGGAGGGGGAAATCTCAGTAACAATCACATTTAGAGCTTCTTCCTTTGATCATTATTTAGGTCTTTAGTCCATGTGTTGAGGTAATGAAATCACTTACTATGATGTAGGAAGTTTCTTTAATGAACTTTGCTAGTAGTAGTATATGATAGGTATTGTCAAGAGGGGGAAATTGATTAGGGGTATTATCCGGGACCAAGTCCATTCAGCTTCCTTAACTGGATGCACAACTTTTGAACAGTAGATAGTTGTTGATGCTGTGAAATGCTTTTGTCAATGCATCAAATGGATTTATTTCCAAGATGTTTGCAGTATTAATAGTATTATTTAAACATGGATGATAAATGCTTATATATTTCTAATCACTTTTTAAAAAACTATTAATTTTTGTAAAGAATTTTTTTAGGTAACTTCAATATTTGCCCTACACAATGATCTGCTCTATAGATATCCCCCCCCCCACCAATGAGCTTTAGTATATATCTATGTGTGGGTACATTTAATTATAGCATACAATATTAATTATTCAGGGAAGGTAGAATATACTCAGAAAAAAATTACATTTTGATTTACCTCTGGTCATATACTGAAAAAAGGTATTGATGTTATATAGTTCATATATCAAATTAAATGATTGAAATGTTTGTTTTTTCTTATTCCTCAGCAATTACATTTTTGTAAAACACTCAAGAACCTCTACCCTAGGATAACTCTGAAGCCAAATAACCGAACTCTGAGCTTTAAAAGTAAACAAACTTTTAGGCCTAAACATGACAAAGATAAAGTCCCCAAGGAGTTCATAATTGTTTATGAAAACAGTCAAAAAAGTATTATTGCTCCCAGTCGGATAATTTCTACAGGATTTTGTTTCATATCCTTTGGCATGGCACTTAACACAGTCTTAAATCACCAAGAGGGTGGTGATAAAACAGAGCTTTATATTTCTCTTATAGCATGTATCATGTCATTATCAATTGTGGTATTTGTCAATGTAATTTCACGATTTTATTTAACTAGAATTTACTTTAGTAAAGATAATAATACATTTATTGGCATCAGTAATAACTTTTGGGGATTAAGGAAACAAATTAAATATTCAAAAGAAGACATTAAACCAGTATGGTTTTCTTCTCTAAAAGGACAACAGTATGCAAAAAAAAATGTTAGAATTCACGGAAGAACATTTCACCTGAGAGCAAATGACTTCACTGTGCCAAAATACTTTAATATGCACATTGGACAAGTTTGATTTTTATCTATGCTTAAAATTACTTGTAGACAAATTATTAAAATAATGAGTATGTTTACAGCTACTATTGTAAAATGTTTTAGAATATTTTTTTAACAGAGTCTTACATTAGTGATAATTTTTAAACATCTCTTAAATTATGATTTGTGAGATTTTCTGTTCTGTTTTACATTTTAATGTGATTTGATGTAAAGTGGAGCAATATTTTAAGATAAATTTCTACACAAGATTTTGCAGAACAATTATTAAAATTTATGGATGTTTTAATTTGAAAAGCAACTGGCTTTTATTTAGGGAAATTCAATGTTCTGTTACATAATGAAATTAATTGTACATTTTATTAAACTGAATTCAATTAAAATTTTAATAAAAAGTTGACCCTAGAAACAGAATGGTGTGATTAGTACATTAGTAAATGATGATGTTTTTGAAATTGTGATTAGAGATTTAAGGAAAGTGTTGCAAACTCATTTTATAAAATTAAAATAAAACAATTCGGTGTTTTTGAAATATTTTATTATAGCCCTTTTCCTTTCTCTTTGAGTGCAGATGATAATCTTTGTTGTTGTTGATCCAACTTTTCCTGTTCAGACCTCTTTAGTTCATCTTGGGCGAATTTAATTTCCCCTAGAAGTTGAACAACCTGTTTCTGTTGACATTAAAAGTGTAGAATAGTAGCAACTGAAGTAAAAAAGCATTGAAATATTTTGTGAAAATACTTAAGCTATTACCATTCATATTAGCAAACATAGACCCACTTCTCCAAAACTTGAAATTAAGAGTACATGCCATTAAAGGTTTTTTTTTTAAAAATATGTAAAAACAATATTAATACAGTTACTAAGCAAATTGCTAATATTTTAAATATTAAATAAAGCTGTGGAAAAATCTTAGAGTGACAATACCCAAGAATAATCACACTCCAAACAATAACTTTCTCAGTGTTGTCAGGAAAGTAATGCACTTTTATTGACAAAATACTGCACTTCTCTGGCTGGAGGTGGTCTGGCATTATGATGCAAGTTACAGTGGGGATGTAATAAAAGGAGCAATAATTTAAAAGATAATTTTACTTACAGCCAAATCATAATTCCTTTCATTTCTATTTTTCTGACGTATTGCAATCTCAGTGGCTCTTCCATCTTTAGAAATAGAAAAGAATTGTTTGTGTACTGTTAGTAATCAATAAGCAAAAACTTAAATAAAACTTACAATTTTGAAATGTGTAGAGGTGAAATAAAAAATATGTATGATCTTGTCTCTTTTTAGCTACTGTTGGTTTCTCAAGATTTTATAAATTAATAAAATATGTCCTGATAATTTCTTACAATAATTACATGCAAAAAAAGGCAAAAATGTGTTCAAAATTAAATGGACAATATTATGTTTTTTGCACATTACCAAATAGTTAATTATATGCAACAAACATTTCAAAGTATGTGGTATATTTTTAAAGGGGCAGTTATGTGAACTTAAAAAAAATGTAGAACAAACCTAATTTTATTTGAACAAAGACAAACACACAAGATAAATTTGAATTAAATTATATTTTTATTTAGAACGAGCCGGCCCGCGGCATAACATACGCCGCTATTTAGTTGTTTCTAATTTTCAATAATTCATAATTTGTGAATTCGACAGTACCAACGCTGACACTGAAAATATTTCTTTAAAACACAATAAGTAGCTCGTTAAGGACCATAACCCCCCCCCCTTACGTTTAAAATCGTTGGCTCTGCTTGTAAACATTTAGAGTGAACACAGCTCACTAAAACCATGTAGGGGTGGGGAGGTAGGGAGAGCGTTTGCAGCTTGTTTTCTAACGGCTCGAAGAGGAGAATTATATATATAGATATACATTTTTTAATGGGAGACAACTTTTGGTATATATCTACAAACCATTGTGGAGGGAGTATATTTTAAAATATCCAGAATAAAAAGAAAAAATGCTCAGTACATACCAACATAGGAATAATCTGGCAATTCAACTAAAGGAAGATTTCTATGTCTCATTGTCTTTTCATAATTCCTGTTAATTTTTAAGAAGAGTGAATTAATTTAACAGTTCATTAATATTAATAAGATTAATGGGTTGGTGTGGTAGTGCTAGAAAAGCTTATGGCTGCTAAACCGAAAAGTCCCAAGACCTAACCCCCAGGCAGATGAGGCTTGATAGAACAGCAACCCATCTAGGAGAGACAACTCCAAAATCAAAGAACTGCTTGTAGTTTGTCTTGGATGGACAACAGCTATGAAGCAAATCCAGAAAGAAAAGCAGACTGAAATCTGAGTCAACATGCTAGACAGTGCAAAATATGTTGACATTAATACTTAATTGGGTTGGAGGAAATCATGTCCAACATTACAATTAGGAACAAAGAAGATGATTTATAATGAACTGTTCTATAAAATTTCAGAATAGGCTGAAACTTAACTACTGCTGGTTAATTAATTTTCAGCTAAATTTATTAAGCTTCATTAGTACAAATTAACTGTATTTAGATTTTAGAATGATACCAACCGATAATGTAAATGTTTTGCTACAGCTGTATCCTTTCTTCTATCAACATCACATCTTGAAGAAGTATGCAAGTTTACTGTTGAGGTAAGATGGGCTTCTTTGTGCCTAGAAGTTGAAACTGCTAATATCTTATGACACAAGCCCTTTTCTGAAAATATATACAATGAAAAGGGAAAGTAAAAAATTATGTACAACTGTTTCCAACAGATGCAACCATGCTCATTTACTATAGCAGCCATCTTGTTAAAGTTTTATTTTTATAAGTTTTTAGCGCCAGATTCAGGGGGAAGCCAGTCTATTTTACAAATGGCTGCTGTTTATATAGCAAAGCTTGCTCTCAGACACTGCTGTTTAAAGTTAATTTCTGGCCTATATCGATATATTTAGCCATTGATTTTGGTTTATTATTCATTTATCTATAATATTTGACACAAAAGTATGACAATATACTTCTATTAAAGCCTTGACAATGAGGTAACGTTTTCGTACATAAATAGCCGCGGGCGATTTTACGTACCCAAAACGGTAATCCCTTAGTTTAGCGTCGGTTATTATTCCGGAATCGTATAGCAGTAAAAAACAGTAAAACAATGCCAAAGTCTGTCACACACTTCCGGAATTCACCGGAAGTACTGTAAACCATACTTTATTTGGTGTCATCTTTTATTTTTATACAGAATGTTTAAAATTTAGATAGATTTATTTTTGTAATCATTTTTACATTTTGTAATCATTTTTACTATTTTCGTAATCTAGATTTTTTTACTTGTCCTAGCAGCTAGATATCTAGCTAGATCTAATTAATTAATGGTAGCAAATCCGCTGCAAGCAAAAAACATTAAATTATTAGCCTACATTTGACTTCATTATTTATATTTATATTAATATAGGGCATAGGGCCTATGTTTTTTATTTATTTTTAGATCTACTAATTTAAATCTACTATTATATTTATTCTTGTTTCCTTTTGTCGATTAAACTTTAAAAATTAAAACAATTTACTTATCGACTTTCAATTTATTTATATTTCAATGGTCAAATAAACCATGGTTTACCGTAAGTCTAGTTACCGAGACTCAACAAACATTACCCGATAATTTCCGACGCTAAACTTAAGGCCACTTAAGGGATTACCCCCAAAACGATAGATTACCGTAACTTCGAATGTAAGTTTTATTAATATTATTAGTAAAGCTGAAAAAAAAATTATTGCAATCATTACGCTAGAAATTTATTCTACACTCATTTATTTACGTGGAAAACTTATTTAGGCTAATATTTAGATAATTCACCTATTAAAGGCACTTTATTACAAAAACATAACACCCTGAAGGTCGCCATTTTGAAGTTCAACTAAACACCAACAAGACCAAAAAGTCTAAAAACATCATTTAGATCTAGATCTATATTCAAATATTCAACTTATAAATAATTAATAGTTTATAGCTAACTCCATTAACTTTACTTTACTTTTCAAAGCCACGACAACATATTTAATACAAGATAGCGATCATCCAAATTTCTTTTAAAATGTTGCGTTAAAAGTAGAATAATAAATAGCAGCAAAGGACAATAGTGAAACTATTTAGAAAAGCACAAGAAAGGGGTCGTCCATAAATGACGTCACACTCGTAAGTTTGTGACGGTGTGTGGTGAGGGAGGGGGGAGGGTGTGTTCAGATGGTGTGACGTCACCCTTTTGCATTATAAAAAAGCAATTTAAGAAAACGAATTTTAGCAGTTATTTCGCGTTTTGGAAAACTGTTTAAATAAATTGTAAAAGGAATTGATTAGCCCTAAGAAAGTATTCTCAATACAAACTTTCAATTCACCCCCCCTTTTTTTAATATTTATAATTCAAAACTGCAGCTAAAATGAGCTTTTAATTTTTTCAACCCATTTTAGCGCCCCGGTTGGCGCCCGGGGGTTAATGTGCTCACCCCCCCCCCTGTCGCTACGCCTCTGGGGTGGTGCGGCCGCCACAGGCACTGACCCAAAGAGGCGCCAAACGTGGTAGATAATAATATAAAAAGCTCATTACTGAATCATATACAATGGAAATAAAGAATGCTGACTGCTACTTGGTATTTCGTACTTATTTGTTTTCTACATCAATTGTGAGACACCAGAAGGGGATGGGGGGAGGGGGTGGGATGGAAGCTGAATAAATGAACAGTAAAAATAAACACATTTTCACACAACTTTAAGAACAATATAAAAACACTGGATAAAAGTATATTTGCATCCAAAAGATTAATAAGCAAACTTCAAATAAAGAATAACTGTTGTTGTTTATTTTACAATCAGAACCATAGCTTTTGCAAATACTGTTTTTGCAACTACCAGTTAAGAGGCGTGTGAGCAACACAGTGATCTAACCCATACCTTATTATTTTAGAAAATAATCTTTAAAGTAAACAAAATCAGTAACTATTAATTGGTGACTATGATTCTGAACGTTGCACTGTTAGATTTTGATTTCTGGTGTAAATTTTAAAAAGCGGTTTTATAGCGACACCACTTTCCCAACCTTTTTTATGCTGTGATGTTTTAGCATTTATTTAGGAGTATATTTAATTCCGAATGTAGACAATATTTGTAAAAAAAATAGTAATAATAAGCTATATATTAAATAGGAAAGTAATTATTGATCTGGTTGAATTTGACTATTACAATTAATTAAAAGTGTAGACCTATACATATTTATATAAAGAGAGTGCTTAATTCCCCTACTGTAGTTCGCTTGTCTTGATTAATATTCCATTATTCCATTATGTCAAATAGTTTTTTACAAGGACTACAAAACATATTGTGTTGCGTTACTTGTTTTTGTTTGTGTTGTGTGTATATTTTGTGTTGTGTTTTGTTTTATGTGATAAATATTTTTTGTGTTGTCGGACTACATGGTGTTTTGTTCTTTTGTTTTTTACATAGTACTGTTTGAAAGTACTTTTCACCTTAGCGAAGCTTATGTCATACAGCTAGTTTACACACACATATATTTAAATATACACATATATATATATTGTGATTTTTCTCGACTCGCCGCTCCCCCTAACCCAAAAACCTGTATATGCCTCAGCCCACTGTATCCCTAGCATAGGGCACACTATAAAATTAATGTAGGCACTATAGTGTTCATTGTGAAGCCAGGGGCTATTTGTGTGACGCTACTGCTGAAGGCGTCAGATGATGCACATTCCAACAGTTGTTTCAAGTATGCAAGATGCCCAATCATCACATCTCAGTTGCTAAGGTATTGCAGGAATTCAAGGTGATCAAATGCACAATATTGCTAGGGCGGTGCCTCTATAAATTTAAACACGTTTTTACCAGAAACCTTAATAACTTCCCAAAGTTTTATGGTGATCAGATGTTGTAATAATGCATATATTATCTTCTGCTCATTGTACCCCACAGATGAAATATGAAATTACAAACTGTAGAACACAAACACTAAGTGTAAAATTGACACACAAAAACATTAATCCATGAATGTATTTTTTTCAAATGAAAACAAAACAATCAATTGATAAAAATAAGACTTGGTAGATGATAAAGACATCTTTGTCACACATAAAAAAGAATGTAGGCCATGAGATAAGCTATATATGTACAACTAAAAAGTGAAAGCAAAATAGCTATTTCACACAAAATACATACAAACATTTGATAACTGACCTTCAGTTATTGAAATAGAATTTAATGAAAAATGTAATAACTAGTTATGTTTTTGGATGAGGTTTATTCATAATTAGATGAATGCATGTTATATTATACAAGAGAACACACCACACAAAGCAATAATATAGCCAACAAAACAAAGATAAAATGATGGTAATGAAATAAATTAGCAAAATTTGTCCAAACAAAAAGGTAATTTATTTAACAATTTCTTGAAGCAAAATTTTCAATATTTTTGACAAAGTTAAATGAATAATTTGAATGAAATCAATGACTGTACTATAGAACAAATAAATTATTTCTTAGAATAGTCTTCTAGTTCTAACAGATTCCTAATGTATAATACATGCTGATTTGCTAAATGCTAGTTACAATGTCACAACTAAAATTATTTTTAAAAAAACTATTTAAAAAAACTAACTATAATAGTTGTAATTTTAACTTATACTAACAAAAACTAAGCAGCAATTAATTTTTTTTAATGGTAAAAAATTTAAATACGTCAGATTCATGCACATACTTTAATAAACTTTTGAAATTTAACTATAACAATCTGCATGTATTTGATTTTTATTCTGTATTAGTTTGTATGCAATTAGAAAAATAACTTAAGCTACTGTGATCATTGTATGGTATTTTATACAAATATTTGTTATTCTATTTGTACAGCACTTTACATTCCATTACCACACAGGTAGGAGAATATTACGCATTTTGTCTGGTTAAAATAAATATACTACTTTATTTAAAAATCTAATTGGTTTAAGATAATGGAAGCACAAACAGTTTTATAACAGAGCTTTAGGGTTTCTGCAGACCCATATGTTATGATACAAATGTGAACTAATGCCAAAGTATCCATTCTATATAATTTTAAAGGTTAGTTTTAAAAGTATTACTATATCCTTTAAAAATCATTTATAATTACTATTATCTCAGTTTTAAACTGCTGGTATTCAGACACTGCAAACTACATAAAAGATTTTCTTGAATTCTAGCTTTTAAATGGCATCAACATAATAGAAAACATTTTATGATTTTTAAAAAGTAGAAAAGTGATTAGTAAGCAAGTATGACTTCAGAAATATCTGCATTAAGCCTTTTAAAAATAATGCAGAAATAAACTAGAAAGTTAAACATTGCAACAAAAAGATTTAAGGAAAAAATTGTACACAAACAGCAATCAGGTTCTTGAAACTAAATCATATGCATAATACAAAAATAACACAAAATGGTATTGTAATGAACTTATCTAGCTTTTCAGGAAAGACTTGCTAATGGTAGGCAATGGTATGCTCTATGTACAATATTAGTATAAATCAGGCAATCAATATATGTAACAAACATGAAAATGGGGAGGGGGTGATATTTGATAAAATCAAGAGCACAACCATCCAGAAATGAAAATTTCGTGGCCCCACCCCTGAAAAAATCCCTAAGGAAAGTAAACTGATTTTAGGTCAAAAAACAACTACGGAATTAATAAAATTTATTATAAATTAATTATATTTTGAGTGCTCAACTATCATAATGGTTATTTACAAATGAAAGACATGAATTAATACTACTTTGTACATCTTTATAGAAAAATCTTTTCAAGTAGATATCTACATAAAAAAACTGAATGGAATAATTACATTAGTGGTTGGTGTATAAGCACTAGTAAGCTTAATCTAAATATATGATCCATTACATACACTATTTCTTATAGAATTTTTGTTGTCTTGCATAGTAATCGACATAGTGGGAATACAAACACTGGCTACCAACCAATTTATTAGAGTGAAATATCTGAAAGGCTAAAAAATTTAACTGGTTTTCTGTAATTAGCTGTAAAACACAAATTCTGTGTGGTTTATAGACAATAAGCCAAGTAATTACTTTAATTTCCTGAAATGCCATATTTAATTTTTTTAAAAATCTGAACAGTTCTCATGATTAGTCTATAGAGTGCAATAGTGAGAAATAAAATCAATGATGAAGATCAAATCAATGATGAAGATGAAATCATTTGATACATGATTGCAGTATATTTTTTAGATATATGTATTTTGCTGATCATTATGCATTTAAGACAGCAAAATAGAATTTAACAATTAATGCATTTTTAAAATATATCAATGGTGATTACAGCATTTAGATTTAGTAACAAGAGCTGTATCAATAGAAGTTTAAAAAGAGTACATTGTATGGAACTGAGATTCCAAAATCTCAAATGTCTTTAAATGCCATAGTTTTTACTAGGTCAGCAACACACCTTTTTCCTGACAATCATTTACTGAACAGAGCTGACTGCATTAAAAAAAATTCAAACTATATTTACATATAAACAGGGATGTTGTATTTAATAGTCTATAAATATTGCAGTAATTCAGTACTGCATACTTTCAAGCAATGTAACATCAAGTCTATTCAACAAATCCAATGCAATTTTATTTATCACAAGTATAATTTATAAATAAAATTGTATTAGATTTGTTCATCTGTGAAAAGTATGAATGCACTGTCCATTTTAATACACTAAATCTTGCATCAACGTTTAACAAAAAATACCTAATATAACTCATAACTTTAAACTCATTAATGCTTGCAAGCATTGCTTTTAAGTGGAGGTGGTGCAGAATAGGTGACAAGATTGTTTATCTATGTTCAACTGTAATCATCTCAGATTAACTGAAGTTGTTTTGAGGAATTAATCTATGATTTGAAATGTATTTAATATACATAAAAACTTTGCTTAAAATATTTAGTACATTCCAATAAACAGCAGTATGGTTTCTCATCAACTTCATTTCAAACAAAAATTACAACATATCGTTTTTTTTTTTTAGCATTTACGACTGAGCCAATATTTTATTCTGTTCTGAAATATGAATTAACAAGCTACTTTCTAAATAATTATACTCGATGAAAATTTATTTTCTATAAAAAATATTTGATTTATTTGAAAACAACTTTGTACACTTGTGTATTAATGATCTGAAATGTTTCATTATGTGGCAGCTGTATGGTATATATAAAAAAAAACAACACTGATTTATATATTATATGGCAATAATGAAATTAGAACACAAATTTAAAAATTGACAGTAAATGTTAATATTTTTAAAAAACGTTTGAGTTTAAGATTTTTAAAAAAAAAATGACTAGGAATTAATAACTTGAAACATCAATGTCTTGTTTATAAACTATTTATTTAACAAAACCTAAAGAAATCTATTTCTTCAGCAGCAATTAAAATCTGAAAATATTAAAATAATCGTTAATATGTACCAGTTTTTCCTCATTCAGCTTTTATTTTATATCCCTTAAGTTACTAGATGCTATAGTGATTTAATACATCAAACAATTTTTTTTTACATACAGGGTTAAAAATACAGAAGTGAAAACATTAGAACAAACAGAAAATTGTTTTTAGGATAAAAGAAATTTGTGTTATAGCGGAAAAGTAAATAATGTGGCAGTTCTAAAAGGAAAAGAATATACATCCCTGCTACCAATTTATATGTGAGCACACATACATATAAAAAGTATGAGGCAAACAAAAGTAACTTAAAAAATACTACACTCAAAGATTAAAAATTGCAAACATTTTATTTAACTCTTATTACAATGTGAATTAACGGCATAATACTCAATATATCAAAGCCACATCTAGGGCTCATTTTGTAACAATAATCCGTTAGTTTAAGTTTTTACTATTACTTTCCATGTGCATTCTTAAATGTATGAGTATGGATCCATTATCCTAAGCTTAGCATGTAAGAAGGGCTTTTAAATGTACCAGCCAAAGCTTAACATGATAAAAATATTAAAAGATCATGTGGACTAAAATTCATTTACACAGAATACTTACAAAAAAAAAGCACAAAAAGTAACAATAAACTATGATACAAAAAATATTTTGCATGTAAACAAGATAAAAAATAAAAATTCAAGAATTGAAAGTACTGGAGAGTTAAAAAAAGACAATCTACCATTATCCAATACTAAAATGATGAATACTTGGAACATTTTGAAAGCTGCCCCTTGATCTATTACTTTGGTTTTTTTTTCTCCATCAAACAAATCAAACTAAAAAAAAAATTCCCATAAAAAATTAGCTTGGGTTAGTTTTCACACTTTTAGAAAATCACTTCTAAAACGATCAAACTGAATAAAATGTTTATTTAACCCTTTACAGTCCAGGGCATTGAAAATATTAAACTTTTTCCCTACAGCCAGGCCAAAAGATGACGCATTTTTCAGCCACAGGACTTTTTAAAATAACCACATGTTAAAAAATAAAATAATAAACATTACGGATAAAACTGGATCAAGTTCATTACATATGAGGTTAAATAGCATAATAGTTTACTAATAGTAAATAAAAATAATTTTAGCCTGAGGAAAATGTCAAATCGCTACTTCTAATATTATTTCTTAAATTTTTTAAATGCTAATAATAATAACCCAAATCAACCACTGGAGCTATTTCCTTTTTTAATATCACTGTATTAGTTACATCATATATAAAGCCTGATTCAGTAGCAGAGGCATTAGTTTTAATTTGTAAAAAAAAAACAAGAATGAACGGCTAGTGATAGAACAAGAAAACAAAACTTTCCATTTCCCACTTCTGCCAGTACCTTCAAGTCTTCAGTTTCTACGCGTAAATAAACATACTATACATAGTTCAGGCCACCACTAAAGCATCAGAATGTACCACACAAAAATTGAAGGGCGACTGCGGGTGCATAGGACTGTAAAGGGTTATGGTATGTTTGAAAATAAAAAATGTGTAATATTCATCTTACAGAAATAAAATTATTTCATATTTAGCTTATCTATAAGCCAGTAATCATTTACCATGATTCAATATTTAAAATTCTAAATTATATATTTAAATTATTGTTATGAAATGCAAAATATTTCACTACAAGTCAATCATTCTGTAAAATAATAAATATGGCATGCGTCTTTCATTATACTGAAGAACTTGCTCCTCACAGATAGCCATGACATCACTATCATCAAACCTAAGCCAACCACTTGCAGCAGGAAGATAGACATCTGAAGTGTAATGACCATCATTCATTTTTTGTCCATGATGATTGACAACTGAAAATATATATAGGGATTAGTATCTTTATTATTATTTTCAATATGCACGTAAATCAAATTTTTACAAACATCTAGCTATGAAATGCAAATTACTCGACATAAATAATCGTTCCTATAAGTATATAAATATTTTGTAGACTATACATACCACCAAATAATTTATATGATCTTGACTTTGATGCTAAGTATTTTACTTTACCAACTCTGGATAAAGTTTCTAAAACAAAAAGTTTTAATAATTAAAATTTCGTAGTAATATCTATTTTTAATAAGATAAGATACTATGTTTCTAAAAAAAAAATTGCAAAGAAAACAGAAAACTAACTGAAAGGAGAATTGTTACAGATGTAAACCAAACAGCTGAGAACAGTGAGTGTTTTTAACTAGTTATATTATATTTTAAAAAGACCTATTGTATTTCACTGTTGCATCTCTAAGCGAGTAATTATTAATGGTTGCTAAAACATTGTGTAAATAGATCTTGTTCTAATACTTAAACATTAAAAACACACACAAAAACACCATTCTCCCCAGTTATGCATAATAATTTTTAAAATAGTAAAAAAAAAAGACAGCTAAACATGCCCGCTTAAACTAATAATAATAAAAGTAGTGTATCAAAGCGTTAAATTAGTTAAAACTACCTTTGGGTATTGTTAGGTCCACATCAAAGTTGATCTTCTTTTGAATTTTCTGACCATTACCATCAGAATACTGAAACAACTTGAGATGTAAAATCAGGACTGGGGGTAATGTATCAAAAAACATTCGCCGCTGACCTTGAATCTATATGAAAAGAACAAAATATTAAATGTAAGAGTCAAGAAAACGGCATCATAACTTATACTATGTTAGCCACATAATTTAGGCTACACGGATTCATCATAGATATGACAACCTTTACAAAAATTAACAATAAAACAACCACACACTGTGATTGTGCTAATTAATAGCTTGATATACCTAATTTCTCAAAAGAAATTTCTATATTTCTAAAATATCACTGAAAGTCCTTTTTCATACATAGACTGACGTTTAAAAAGATTAATGGTAATGGTAGGCTGTGGAGTAATATATTTCCTTTTTATAAAAAAAGCAACATCATAATTGCGTCATCAAATAAATAATAATAATATCAAAGCTGACAAGTCATTCTTTAAAGATCCATAAAAATTATCTTATAAAATGATAACTTTACCTTGCCTCCATCAGCATCATGAACAGTCTCTATACTATTTAGTCTAAGCAGTGCATCATTTACACAGTGGACAGTTTCGGCCTACAAAAATTAAACAGTGAAAAACTTGCTTAGTAATTTGAGTAGTACTTTTGTTCAACTAATTAAAAAAGTAGTACACTGAAAGGTGTTAATTTGACCCAGTGGTAAAAATAAATGGCAAAGTATAAAATTCTTTTCATTAGAGTACCACAGGTAGGTATAACAGAATTCTACAACATGTCACCAATATAAAAGGTCTAATCTTAAAAATGTAGAATTTAAAATCATTTACCTGGATATCAAGTTTCAATGTAAAAAAAGAATCAAGGGTATCACTTGTTTTACCAGATTCTCTAATCAGACAAGATCTGCTGAGCCCAGCAAATATGCTTGACAGCGGGGTTTGCCCACAATCATTCTAAGATAGATCAACAATGTAAAATTATTGATAAAATAGAAGTTAAAATTACAGACTAACAGATTACTATAGAACAAGCTGCCTTACCACATTTGTTTCTACATGATGATTTTTAGGTCCAACGCGTTTCCATGAATCATCATCGTCCTCAAGATCATCATTAACAATTTCAGCATAGCCATTTTTAGTCTGTTCTTTGTCATTGTTATTGATACCTTAAACATTAATAATTCTTGTGTGGTAAAATTACAATTTAAGTAACAGACAATTTATTTTAGAATTATATTTTTCAATATTGGTCAAATCAGTACTGATTTGACCAAATATTTTCAAGTAAATAACTAACCATCTGCATGTTGCAGCTTAATAATATTCTCCAGTTCTTCATGGCATATCATTAAAATCTGGCTTAAGAACTCTTCTGCATCATGCTGAACACCAATCTGTATAAAAATATAAATGATTAGATGTTTGTGTAGTCAACTAAATTAACCAGCTAATTTTAATGTATAATACATTTTGAGCTTACATGAAGACCAAGGATATTCTGTGCTACATTTAGGATGGGAGTTGGAGTAAATGGTTGCCCAATATTAATGTCAACTGCAGCACCTTTTTTATTTCTAGAACCTGCCAAATTGTTTTGAAAATAATAAAAATTAGCGGATTCAAGTAACCTTCATGATTAAAATACGAATGATAACTAATTTACAAAATTTTTACCTTGATTTCTGATCCTTTGACCATTTTGGAATGAATTTACGAACTGGACTCTGTAGGATTAAAAATTTATTACAATAAACCATTTTATGACTGTATACATTTATTTAGTGCCCAGAGTTTGTTACTTTAACATTTGTAAAAGCCATAGTTTACTCAGGGAAATAAAAATTGAAACTGTTTCATTTATACTATCTCTTTAACCTTTAATTGCTATTTGACACCAAGTGAACCAATGAATCTTATTTTTGCATATTCTCGCTGGTAATGAAATTTAGAAGATACCAGCTGGAAATGTTATTGATTTTGTCCTTGTTCTATCACTAGTGATTACAATACTTTCTTTACTGCTACAGATTTGTTTAAAAATTATGGGGTATGGGAGGGGGGGGGGGGGTTATTTTTTAAATATATTTTAGGTTTTATATTTTTTGTTAATTAATTTTAAGTAATAAGACTACTGAGACTTGAATATTACAACCTACGACAGATAGAACTGTTAGTTTTCAAATATTTCAAAAGTTTGTGAATATTTTAAAATACTTTCATCTAAAAATGGTTTTCTATAATGATAATTATTCACAGAAGAACAAATTAAATAATACTAAATGAATGCTTACAGTGAATCAAATATAGGTGTTGATGAGTAGCTACCAGAGCGTGCTGGCAGGTCTTTGAAAGTTCTGAACATATGAATGAAAGGGGGGCAGCCCATCAGAACTTGAAGAGTCTTAAAAAAATAAAATCAAGACATAATAAATATATGATTCTTACTTCTGTAAAATGTTATTTGTAAATATCAGAAGCTTTACTTACAGCATTCATGAAACAAATATTACTACCATTCACAAGGCCTCTTGGCTGTATCACAATTGGTGTATGGACAATAGGTAAGTTGTTAAGTTGCTCTGAGGAAGGCAAATAATAATTACTAAACCTAGTTTTAAACTAAAGAGCAACACAACATAAAAATAACAAAAGAACTGTTTTTAGTTTGCTTATTAATTTTTATATCGTTTAACTTACAAAAATATAATTTTTTCATCAACAGTTAATTTCTAATCTTGGAATATTTGGAAAAGTAATAGATTTTGATGTAAATAAATTAACACCTACCTAATATTTTAGGGGCAAGAGGATCATTTTGGGGTCCAATGGGAATAACTTTTTCTTTAGCCACAAAAGCCTGCTTAGCCTCTGCCTTCTCTTTTTCTTGCCAGTATCTAATGCTTTTTACTTCCTCTTTTACAGTGTGATTTGACAAAGGTATGCTTGACAGCGTTGGTTTTGAGACATCAGACGCCTGTGTTACCTTATTTCCAAAAAGACTACTCCACATTTTAACAGGAGCCACAGGTGCTGATTTATTTACATGACTTGGAGATGATACAGGGGGATGAAACTGTTTGTCCTTATTAGGTAAAGTAGAATCTGTAGGTGACTGACTAACAGCTACTGATAACTTCAGAGACTGCTGAGAATGCAACGGGTCATTATTTTGGCTTGATACTTCCTGGTCTTCAGTAAGCTTGCCACTGCTAGTAACAGACAGGTCCAAACTTTCCATGTCAATCACAACCTCATTATTTACAATTTCATTTTGCTTTGAAACAGGGATGTCATTGCATGTGGTGTTATCTGCCTCTGGCAAGTGACTGTTAAATACTACAGGTCCCCCAAACTCAATGGGTGATGACTGGGTGGTGGGATTTGCAACTAAGTTTGAATCTGTGTTCTCATGAGGCTGACAGGGGATAACTGAATTATGCAAAATGTTAGGCTCTGGTAAATAAACTACCTGAGCATTATGCATTCCAGCATGAGAAACACATGCAGATGTCAAATGTGTACCATTTAGATTACTTGCATCTATCTGTGAAACATGGGCTATAATCACAGGATGATTAAGTGACTGTGTAATCACGTTACTGGGATGGGCTAGATGTTGACCAGAGGTATCTCCATGATGTCCAGCAACAGACATTGACAAATCAACAGGTTCTGATTGCGGAAGATGTGCTGCTTGAAAGTGTGCCGACATAGGATGACCAGGTACAGCAGGCAAAGCATACATAGCCTGTCCAGCATTTATAGCCGGCACAAATGTCATTGTAGCCTCCCCATTGGAAATGGACACTAGAGACTGATTAGAAAAGACATATGGGGCCTGAACTGTCATAGGATAAGGAGGAACAGATGGATGCACTAAAGTAGACTCTCCATGAGCCCAGTGATGAACTGGTATTTGATACCCTAAAATAGGAGGTGGTGGGATGGTCGACTGAAAAACAGGAGCATGGTGAACCTTCTCTGTAGTAGCTGTTGTACCTGGAGTTCAATTGATTAAAACATAGTTCAATAAAAATATACAAATATCACAAAACTTGTTTAAACAGGCTAATTATTCTTCTAATTTAATATATAAGTAAAACAATATACTTCAAGTTTAGTACATGGCTCATACTTTTAATCATTTAACAATACAATAGTAAAATTAAATACTCTAAAGAATCTTAAATATAAAGTAGAATACCTGTATTTTTGTCATTGTCACCCGGGAATGGAAACTGAAAAAAAAAAGATAAACAAATAGACATGTTAATACATTATGGGACAATAAGCTTACATGAAAGAGCTTGAGTATCAACATAGATTAATATTTCAGACAAATAGCATGTCCTAGAGTCCACTCAGCTCTATGGAGCGGCAATATGAATCTGAGTTTATATATTATATAGAAAAGGCAGTTGCTTCGGGGTACTTCCAGAAGTAGAAGACACCTGAAATTTAGACCTTGCCTAGATTAGATCTCTGTAATATTAAATTACTTTAAAGTAACTATTACTACTCACTTGGACTCCGGAGCACAAAGATGATGTATTAATAATCCTATCCAATTTGATAAATTCATCTTCACTGAGCTCATCCCAATCAATAAATGACAAACCTTCAATCAACTTCGTAGAGCTCTGAAAGTGTTTGTAAAGTTCATTATTTTACACCTCCTACTATCTATAACTCATTGTATTTTAACATTGTTTTTTTTTTATATACTTGAACCACTTATCTACAACAAGAAAGTCAACCATTAGATGAACTGAAATTATGAGTTTTACACACATGGTTAAGTTTACACATTAACATTACTTTCAAACCAAACTGCCAGTTTAAATCAATCCTTTTTCAGATATCATAAATATTTCCAGCAAATATTGTGGTTCATGGTTAGAAAACTTGTTATTTTGCAAAAATGCTTCCAAAGTTTACTTTTTATCGATATTCATATTTAAAACGGAACAAAACATTTTAGTATTCATGAAATCTAAATATGAATAATTTTTAAACAATTATTAAGAAAAATGTTTTTTATTCATTAAGTACAAAGAAATATATATAACACTCAGGTAATTACATAAAAAAGATACATAAGAGCCTATTTTAACTATGAACATCACATATTTCTCATAAAGTTGTAACCTGTCTCACTGAACTTCAATTCCTATTAACTTAAATTCCACTGCAGAGTATATCCATTTTAATTATCAAAACAAAACTAATTTAGGACTTAAATAATAAACCAAAAAGTCACAATATTTTCTGACATGAATGGATGAACATCCATTTCTGAAGACGTGCATTGATTCTGCTCTGGAGCAAGACAACGTGCTAAAAAGTTGTGATTATGCATTGTGTAAATTGTAAAAAGTTCTGGTCAAAATATTTTCAGTTGGCTATCCTGTTTTCAGAATTACTGTTGACCAGTAATCTTCCAAGTAAAAACCATTATTCCTTAGCCTTAATAAAATAAAATAAACTCACATTTTTTAACACAGATCAAAAGATCATTAACATTGGGCTTAGGTTTATATTACTAATTAGTATGAAGTACATGAACAAAACCATACCATGTGCTGTGCTTACGATGTGACAAGTGATGCTTCTCGTGTTGATAAAACAGCATGGCATCTTTAACATGATTATGCCTCAAATACTTTTTAACTTTGGGGGAATTTTTATACCTATGTCCAATAATGTCATCTTCCTAAAAAGGGGGTGTTAAATACACACATTGCTGGCTAATGTCAATGCTAACCCTGTCCCTAACCCCAACCCTGGTCCTACCATATGCCTAACCCTAATTTCTAACCATAAAAAAAATCAGTCGAGATTATTATCGGACATCAGTATCTAAAATCATCCATAATATGAACAGCTTATTCTGCTAAAAATAAAAAATCAAATCGGCTGCATTGTCAACCTTGCAAAGTTTGCGTCTTCAAACAGAAAGTAGGTTGTCATGTTATTTTATTTAGTATTTAGCCTACTGCACTGTAAGTCGCCGAAAAATTGATTTACCACCAAATGAGCTCCAAATGTTTGATGGATTTAAGAATTTAAGATTGATCACTATTTTAAGTAGGCCCTATTTTTCATTGGTAATGTTAGTAATGTAGTTTACTTTTAGGCTAAATAAAAAAAAATAATGACATTTAAAATGAAGTGAAAATTGCTAAAAAATAAAAAATTATCTCTAGAAATCTAGATTCAATACAATATCTAAGAGTAAGAGTCTAGTTTTGAGCCTATAGGCCTATAGATCTAGACATGAATCTAGATCTAGATCTAAATCTAGATTAGCTCTAGTGTCTAGATCTAGCTAGAATCTAGATCTAGGTCTAGATATCTAGACTAGAATCTCGAGTAGAGTAGACTACTCCGATCGTCTGTCTCCGAGTCGAAAAGAATGGACGACGTTGTCGGTATCTAAAAAAATACAAACACTTTGCAAAGGTGTGCATGGGAATGCAATTCACACAGTATTTATTTAATATGGCGCTTACTTACCTCATATTTCTTTGCCATTTTCGAACATTGATAGATTTAGTCACTTCATGTTAATCGATATGAACTCTTGAATTACAAAATATCGGGCGAATAAAAATGCTTAAAAATGCGCAAGAGTCGCCATTTCCTTTACAACACATGTATGTAGTGGCCAGATTTTTGTTCCGCTGACATTTATGAGGAGACTAAATGTTAGGCTAAGCTTATAGAGTCCTTGCAAACACGTGACCTAAATCACGTGATACCTACGCCCGCCGCCACAGTGGTGTACATCAGACGTAAACACAATCAGCTGTTCGCCAGCGCTGGACGTGTTCACCAGCGCTGGACATGTTCACCGTATGTAAAGAATCGCGCCCGCGGAAAAGGAAAAATATGTTTAAAAACTTGAACTCTTAGGAATTGAAGATCCTTATACAGTTATTGACAGTTTCGTGGATAATATAAATATGTGGCCGAAATTTCTAAATAAAAATACTGTTAGTAATACCGTTTGCGTTTAGAGTTTAAGTAGACGAAGCTGATCAAATGCAGTAATATATTAGAGGTTATCTACTGTAGCAAACGTGAGACCACTTAACTCCTACAAAACCCACACTACAACGGCTAATATAATCCATGGGTAATAACCACTGCTGTTCTTAGATCTCAGGCAATCTGGGTAGCATGTTATACAATTTAAGACCCTTATAATCCAGCAGGGAAGTAATCAGACACATTAATACTGACGTTCAACCCTCATGATGGCTGCCCCCACCTGTATCTAGCCCACAATAAAACCAAAGAGGAGTCTGCCCTGCCCTCCCCTGAAAATGTCTCACCTCCGTGATACCCAGCCCCACAGAGATAGTATTTCTTATATAATTTTGACCCTCAGGGCCCAGCAGGGAGAACAAAGGGGAAAGTCCCACTGCTCTCCCCTCAACACTTCTCACCTCGGTGTCATGTTATGTCATTTATAGCACACACGGCTTATCAGGGGAAAGCATTAAGGCATTAAGAATCTTAACTCTGGACAGCTACACACTAGTATACTAGCTACACACTAGGTGCCTACTGTAAACTACTAGACTGTAGGCCCTATGTAGACCTGCAATTGTATCAATTGTAGACTGGGTCCATTGTTATTATTCTAAACCATCTCACTTATAATGTTTCTAGCTTGATTTGTTTCTTTTATAAACAGTGGATTTAAAAAAAAAATTTAGCCTAATCATTAACCAAATAATAATAATGTGGTTATTTGTTGTTGGCTGGTATGATCTAGATTGTACTACTAGGCTACAAAAACTTAGTAGACCAATTACTAGATATGAATTTGAATTTAATTAAACTCAGTCCAGTATCAGATACATATTGCTGTAAAAAGACAACAAAGTAGGTAGGCCTTAGTAATTTATTAAAGCCTTCTACTACAATAATATCAACTACATGCTTGTATAAAGTTTTTACAATTTAATTTAAGTAGCAGATTCTAGATCTAAGTCTAGTCATATAATCTATTTCAATTTCAGAAAATTTCGTTTGCTAAAAAAATGATTAGATAATAGAGCGAGATTTTAGATCTTAGAGAAAATTAAATGCTTTATTAGGCCTATTATGACTACTTTTGATTTATTATGGGTGTATTTTGAATCGAATGTAGATCTAAAGTAATTAAATTTAAGTAAAGAAGTAGATTCTAGATTCTATGTCTACCCAGCGTAGCCAGGTATTAGGCCTACTATTAGATCTTATTATTCTTATTAGCCTATTACTTTTGACTTTGTCTTTTACTATTAGTATTTGTGAAGGTCGAGCATATTTGTTTTATTAATAGTTATCTTTTATAATTAAAATGAAGTTTATTATTTTACTGTCCTTACATGAAACAAAGTATCGAGAACTGCATTTGATCAGATTCGGCTACTTTAACTCTAAACGCAAACAGTATTACTAACAGTATTTTTATTTAGAAATTTTGTCCACATATTTATTTATACGAAACTGTCAATAACAGTATAAGGATCTTCAATTCCTAAGAGTTCAAGTTTTTTAACGTATTTTTTCCTTATCCGCGGGTGCGGTTCTTTACATACAGTGAACGCGTCCAGCGCTGGTGAACACGTCCAGCGCTGGCGAACAGCTGATTGTGTTTACGTCTTGTGTACACCACTGTGGCGGCGGGCGTAGGTATCACGAACGGACGTGACGTCATATGAAAGGACTCTATTTGTTGCAGGTTAGGCTAAGCTAAGGCTAAGTTTGTATTTATCACCGTAGCAAAACATAGGGGCCTACACCACAACATTCGATTTGCCATTTCGATTTTGAAAAAATCTGTAAGTTCAAAATGCATATTCTTTAAAAAGCTAGTGCTTGAATTTTATTATCAGTAATTTAATTATTTTTTTTTTGTTTTACTGCCGTTATATTAACTAACATCTAAATTGCAAAATAACACAAATTGTGGTCAAATCAAAATGTTTCAGTTATGTTTTTATGTTATTTTATTTATATAGGCCTATCTATAGATATATAACTACGGCTCCCTGCGCTGTTTTACTCGGCGGATATAATCTCCTTTTTAATTTTAATCTAAATCAGTCTAAATTCAAATTCCAACAGGCTTTTAATAGCTACGAGAGTTAATTTTTGCGAGCAGGGTTTCTATTGGACATTTTTATTCGGTGGGGGGGGGGGGGGGGGGGGGGGGTGAGTCAGTTTACACTTGTGAGATAGATGGACACATGGACGTTCTACGTGGACACGAGTCCGAGATACAAACTCGAGACTTGGTGCTAACAGTCGCGCGCTATACTGTCAAATAAGATAGATCACATGATTTTCAATGGTGCCGCTGAATTAAGGTTACTTAAAATTGATGATATATTAATTAATTTTGTCATTCCATGTTGCCCCATGAAAAGTTGTCCATGGGAGTTGAACTAGACAACTGAAGACATTTTTTTTTTTGTGGCTGACAAACACACACAAAGACACACATATGTTGTACATATAAGAAAAGCCGCTAGGGTAATTCAGCACTTCCGTCATCGGTATGGACACAGAGTTTCTTCCAGGCATCTATAGACCCCCCCCCCCTCCCCGAACGAATTGGAATTTAAAAAGAAAACATATTTTCACTACTGTCCGTCCGCCCCCCCCCCCCCGGAAAATGTCGTTGTCCCCCCCCCCCCCCCCGCGGAGAAAAAAGTCTGGAAGAAACACAAATGGACATTTAGTCTTCGCCCGTAGAGCTGGAGAAGGTGCGGTCGCACGTGGGGACCCTAGACGCGGGCACACCCGGAAAACATTGGGAAGGAGGGGCGCTTGAAACTTCTTGGGCGCACTTAAAATAACAGGGGGGGGGGGACAGTTAAGGTTCAATGTATGTTTTCTGTATATTTTTTTTCTATTTCGTCAGTACATTAGCTTTAGGTAAATTTTTTAAAAATAGATTTATACTCCACTCTCCGTATCGGCACATATCGCCAAACAACTATTAGACCCAGAGTTTCTTCCAGGCATCTCTTCGGGGGGGGGGGGGGGGGGGGGCAAAACCCCCCGAAAATTTTT